GTGAGTTTTCTCCTTTGTTTTTGCAGGGGGAGCATTTTTGAGCCTTGATGGGCCAGGATCCTGCCGCCCCTTAACTCCTTACCAATCACAATGGTTTTCAGAATTCTTCCAAGACCTAAAAAGGTCGGGGTGGTTGGGACAGGAAAAGGGAAAGTGGAACTCCCCATCTTGCCCGAGACTGGGGGTTCTGGGACCCTGAAAGCTTGTCAAGCCGCTTAGAATCATCAAGGGCTCCCTAGAATGGGGGGTGGGGGTTCCTGAAGGCTCCCTAACAACCCTAGGGACGCCTGGTTTCCTTGGTCAGGGGGACGACGCTTGGACCATCGACCTCAAGCCGCTCACGCCGGCAGCCCAGACAGATGGATCAGCCGGTAGGGAGCCCAGAAAAGCCAATCCCGAACCCCAACTCAGCGTGGGGGGCATAGGGGGGGGGGAAGGCGGGCGATTGATGCGCGATTGCACTCGGAGACGCGACCATGGCGCAAGCCACTGAGCGGGGGGGGGGGGGAGAAATGGGGAAAGACCCCTGAAGAAGCACTTAGAGCCAAGTGTGTTTTCGTGCAAGTGTGTGTGTGTGTGTGTGTGCGGTTGTTTTGAAGGTACTCTTTTTCAGGTTGGTTCAAAGGGAAGTCAGAAGGAAAGCCATACTGGACAAAATCCTGCACCACCTAAGAAGCCCTGGAATGATTCGATTCCCCTGTAAATACCAACCGACCACGATTTCAACCATGGTTTCATTTCGTGGTGCCAAATGGATTTTGTCCATGCTTTCGCGCACGAGGCGCCTCAAGATGGAAGAGAGGCGCGATTTCGGAAAGTTCGACCGCAAGCTCGGTTGAGCAACTCTGCGACCAAAAGTGGTCCAAAAAGGTCACAGGCTGTAAAAACAACCTGGAGGCGAAAGCTGCGTCACACGTGTTTTCCCAGGCTGTTTCCTCCAAAAAGACCCAGTTGGCCGTGATTTTTACACAGGGAGTCATATTCCCTAGTTGCACAGTGGGTTGCTTCCTGTTTTCCTTTCTTTTGGGAAGAGTTCCCCTTTGAACTCAAGCAACCAAAAAGGATGCCCTTTTTTTCCATGGCCACTGGGCATCTGAGACTCACAAGTGGGAGGTGGACATCAAGCCCCACCTGAATGGATGCTAATCAAAGGGTGCCTCATTGAATCTCATGCCCATTTACTTCCCTGCAGTTTAATGTGTCCAAAAACAAACTAACCACATTTTTGTGTCCCATGTGAAGCGCCAGGAATTTGTGTGACGCGGTCTCCGCGAAATTTATCTGTGAATCACTTTCTTCGGGCCGTTTTTTTTTTTGGTGTGACTCGCGGGTTTGCGGAAGCGAGCCATGAGGGATGTGGAGACGTTCTCTCTCAACAGGGTCGCGCTTCATGCTGTGGGTCAAACATATGTACCCAAAATGGAGTCCTGGTAAATGGACACATGGACCAAAACCTGCGGTCCCCTGGTGGTTTAATTTTGACCCATACCGGGCCCATACCCATGTTAATGTAGGGGAGCAGGCTGTACTTGCAGACGGTTTTGCACGCAGAAAGCCAAAAAATGGTGCCGTACAGTAGGCTTTGGTACAAGGAAACCCCGCGGGGTTCCATGTTGGCCCCTCACAAGTGAATCCGCCGGCTTCCGGCTTCCGGGAATGGAATGTCAAATTTGTAATCCGGTACAAGTTAACATGTAGCTCGAAAAGGCGTTCCTGCCCAAGGAAGGTCCTCTATGCCTTTTTGGGGAGTTTAGGGTTCTTTCAAAATGGAACCTTGCTATTTTTTAATGGGTGGGTTTGCACGGGGAGCATAGTGGGTCCTCTTTCAGGGTGTGTGGGAAGCTGATATGGACGTTACCCTCCCACCAACTAACATGGAACCTGACGTTCGGGGGGTTCTGGGACCATTTGCCCTTTTAAAGGGACCCCTGAACGGCAGGTGCCATGTGAAGGCACGTTATTTGGCTGTGGGTCAAAACCAATGGTACCATCTTGGGGTGGGTGCACCACCCATGTTAGAACCTATTTTAGTGGTTGGATTGAATCGGATGTTCACTGGGGGCTAACCGATTTGAATCTTGACCCATGGCCATTTGATGACCTGGGCTGGCCAGGCTGTGCTTCGGAGATCATTCGGATGATTGACAGCAGGCATCACGAACATAGAACCTGTTGGTCTGGGGGTTCGTTCTATCAACAAAGCATGTGGTGGTTGGTTTTTCGGTGGAATGCCAGGAAGACAGGTGATGATGCTTGTGCTTTGTTTTTTTCTTCTATGTTTCGCTAAAATACACATAGGCACTGTTTTTTTTGGCAGAATGATGCTATGCTAGTGCATTCTAACAACACGCCATTTTCTGACGCCCGTTTCGGCATTTTTCCCACACTTTTTCTTTTCAAGTTGTGCGCCCGATCCGTATATTCCCCAAACAATATCGACGGCAAAGGGGACAAATTCATGTTATTTTTTTGGTTTCAGGTGCCACGTTAAACTGCACGGGCCCTGCTCGGACCGATACATTTTGTTTTGGGCGGTTCTCCTTTAAAACCCGCAAACATGGGGCTACCTCAAATAAAGACACGCCCAGAGGCCCCAGGCCCTTAGGCCTTCAAGAGCCCCAAGAGGAATGCACGGTTCCCTTTCTGGGACGGGCTCGCTTTTTGGTTCTTGGGGTCCAGCGGAGGTCGTTTTTCTTTGGGTGGAGCCCAGTACCTTTTTTTCCCCTGCGCCATAAGATGCGCAGTGACTCGAGTCAAACATCCCCCATGGCTGTGGGGGTACAGGTTGAGCCTCCAACTCTTTGTGCCTTTCTTGAGTTGGCCCCCCCAAAAACATTTTTTGTCTTCGGCTCTCCTTTCAGTTTCCGTTTAAAAAAACCGCCACGGGCCACGGGCCACGGAACGGTGGCCCAGCCCGAGCCTCCCCCCTCGGCTGAGCTCTCGAGCCAGGGGCAATGGGCACTCGGTGAGCTCTATGAGCCTGGCGCACTTCAGCAAGGAGGATGCCGCCAGACAATCCGGTGGCTACCCAAAGGAGGCGGGACATGGATGTGCACTAGAGGTACTGCCGGAGTTTCTGGCCTTCTCTCTTCTCTTTCGAGATTTTCCTTGTTTTTTTTTGGGGGCGCGGGGGAGGGCCGTTTTCGTGGTGGCTAGGAGTCTTAAACAGGGAATAAGCCGCAAGTTGGCGGTTGGTGGACATGAATCCGCACCGAACTTTGATGTCCACCAGCTGCTCAAGTCACGCAGACTAGTTGCTCAGAGACCGCCTTTCTCCAGACTTCAAGTGGTATCCCCAGACCAGCCCCCGTCCCGAACCCCGGAACCGCCGACCGCTCCAAACCAGGGTTGTGGGATCAAGGGGTTTCTCCCCACTTCTGTGATACAAGGAAATCCCCCTTTATATGAACAAAATCGTCTTTGGGGTTCCGCCCTTCTTGTTGTATCACAGACTCGTGGATTCCATTCCCCACCGCCCTCCAAACTTCAGGATCTGGCCCTCTAGCATAGATTCTGGCCGCGAGTGGGAAGATCCATTTCCTCGGTGCCCATCTTCGGACGGAGAAAAATTCCATGACCACTCCCCGGACTCGTGGGACGCCTGGACACCCGAGGACGACGACTCCGTGCTGGACAACCAGATGAGCTTCACCTCGCGGAACTCAAACCAGAGCCTCGGGAAAGGAGGTGGATCCACGGGCTTGATGGGGAGGAAGGGAAACCCGCCCAACAGATGTTCGACTTGGAGAAGTTGTTCATGATTTGCGGGGGAGGGGGGGGGGGTTACTTTTTTTTCTTCTTCTTATTTTTTTGGGGGGGGAGGGCAGTATTGATGAGCTTTATGACTGCGAGAAGACCTAGTTAAAGTCAAAAGTCCCGACAAATGGATTCCGGGGACGAGCTTGTGACCAGCCTCTGCAACTTTCGGCCTAGGACTCGAGGTTCAGTTGGGGGCATCTCTGGATGGCGTTCTTTGGTGATGTCCTTCCGGAATGTCCTCTGAGAGTGTCTTGGGGCGATGTTGGGTGATGTATTTGGGGATTTCTGTTAGTATTGGATGTCTGGATGTCTGGATGTCGATTTTGATTCTGGCTGTGGGGAATCTCCGCACCCCTTTCCCGGAGTCCTTTCGTTGAGTCCTTTCGTGGAGTCCCCTTCCGTGTTTTTTTTTTGGGGGGGGGTCTTCACCCGTCACATCTTTGGCCCAAGGTGAGGTTCCATCCTTTTCTTTTTTGGGGGAAGATAGGGGAGTCTGTTTCGCATGTGCGCAACACTTAAATCCGAGGATCCGGAATCTGCTGGACAAGTTTTTCGAAAGCGAGTCTGAGACGCTGGAGGAGCGGGGGAAAAAAGAAAAAAACAACGAAGGGCCTGGGGAGGTTTACAAGGGTTGACTGGGGGGTAGAGTGGGGAGTTCACTGGGGTGGGGTTAGCATGATTTTCCCAATCACGAGGGTATCGTGGGTTTCGCGCACGATACCACTCCAGGTAACCCCATACTTGGTGATTTGGATTGGTGGTTTGCGGAGTTGAACCCGGATTCTCTGGATCGAAAACCACGAGGGAAGCTGAGCGGGACGAAGGGACTCGCCAAACTTCAGTCGAATAGGACAACTCGCTCGGCTCTGGCGAAGAGCCGTATGGGTGGTTCCCCTTCTTTTTTGTGAGGGCCCCCTTTTTGGGCTCGGATTTATTTTCCCGAAGGAACAAGACACCTGTTTGGGGTATCAAACATTTTTTGACTGCTGTGAAGTGCGGACCGGGTGGCCGTCGGAACGGGGTCCATGAAAGGTCCGTGCCAAGGGAATTCGCTCGATCCTGCAAAATAATTTCTCTTCTGATCTCCAGGGCGTGTGAATTCTACATGTATGTTGGTTATTTTGTTGGGCTGTTGGGCTGCTGGCTAGACCCTAGACCCAAGACTCTAGACCTGTGTGGTTCCCTTTCTTTTCTGTAGCAAGCCATTTTGAGGGGTCCTCCCACTTTGAGACAAATTTCAGGGGGTTGAGCTCTTTGCGCAGTCAAAAGGATTCCGGATTCCTCCCGCCCTAGAGGGAAGCCCCCACTGACTGAAGACATAGGTGTCCTTTTTGGTTGTTTTGGTGGAAAAATGGATGGCCCTGGTTGACCTGGTGGTTTAATCGTCTACCAGGGCCATCTATTTGCCCTGAAAGGACACCTGTGACTTAAGCAACTTGTTCGAGCCTTGGCCAATGGCTTTTCACCCGGCAAACTCACATGGAACACACACACATACACACACACACACACACCACATGTAGAGGTATCCCCTTTTCATGATCACTCTTTTTTGGGGGTTGCAAGGGGTACCAAGGTCAGAAGCACGGCCCCTGGAGTGCCGACCACCTGTGGGAGATTTAGGGGCAGGGCGCGTCGGATAGGTGGTTAGTGCCGCTGGAGACAAGCTACTGAACGGAGACTTGCAACCGGGTTATTTGCACATAGCAACTTCTTGGGTGAAAGAGATGCCACAATCCTCCCCCCACACCGGGCATCGTTGCATCTTCTTTCACTCTGCAAAGCCGTCTAAGAAGATTCTGGCTGATGCAACCAAAGGGACACCGACCAGCACACCTGGACGCGTTGTTTTTAGATGCACCAGGGCTTAGAGATCTGACTACTCGACTTGGATTTTTGTAGCGCAGGGCAAGCAAACGCCTCCATCCAAATGCCTTTGCGCATTGTTTTGTTACGCAAATGCGTACCCCCGCGTTTCAAATTCACCAATAGAATAATGGGGGGGTTATTAGAACCGCCATTCTTTGCCCAAGGATTGTCATCCTCCAAATTGGGCCAACCATTCTTTTAATGGGGGTTGAACCTTAGGGTTAACGCGCCACATGCTGCCTGACATAGCGTCAACATGGAAGCGACACAGGGCAGACCCCCAAAACTTCACCCAAGAGCAACCCCGCCCCAATCCCAACCTCTGAACTCTCAAAGTGACCAACAACTTCCATGTGCTTAAGAATATTTGTGTATTTTCCTCTGGTGTTTTTCAAAATCACTACTGGACATGTTATCATTTTTTGCGCGGGGTTTAAGCAAATGGAAGAACAGGTGATGTTGCAGGGCCATAAATCGGGACCCGCTGTCTTCGGGCCGCGCGCCTGCACTCGCGTCCGTCGCCCGTGGCCAGCCTGCGAAGCGGAACAACGGCAAGCACTGGCTGCTGCAGCGGAAAAACATCACCACGACCTCGCTGCTGGCGCCTGGGCAAAATCGGGACCCATCTGGCTGTGGGTCAAAGCCGTTTTGGGATCCCATTTTGGGGTAGGCGAATTCACCGCCCATTTTAGAACCTATTTGAGAAGAGATTGGGATGTTGGTTTCTTAAAATGGGGCTGAATATCGTGGGTATTTAAAGGGAAACCAAAAGGGACACCACCATTTGGCTTTGGCCTGCGGTGACAATTTCGAAGAACATTGAACAAGTCTGACCTTGTGGTCAATCCACTCAGGACGTGAGGGGTTTCCGCAATCTTTTCGGGTTTGCCCCTGGGAAGGTGTCGTTTTCCGTGTGCGGAGTCTACATGTTGCTCACTCATTTTCGGGGAAATGTAGGAATAGTCATCCACCCACCTGAAATTTAGACCATGACCATTACCCATGGCCATTACCTATGACCTATGACCATTGCCCATGACCATTACCCAAATGAGGATTTTCGACCGGGGTTGATGACTATTCCCAATGTTGGGTTGATGTTCCATGACCCTTACCCACATTTTGTGAAGTTTTCACCCTGGCACCCAGCTAGAAGTTGGGGAGAAGGACAGCACGGCACCCAGTTGGGTAAGGTATGTGGACGCTTCGGGTTTTGCTGCAATCTTTTCCGTTGCTCCCTACAATTTGGGATTTTCGCACGGGGTGAGGATCAGGCATCTATATTCCGCCTATTGGAGGTTTCAAACATCACCCTTTCCTTTTGTCCCCTTGAACTTGAGTTGTCTTGGATGTTGTTGGGAGAAACAAATGCCGCTATGTTTGGACGACAGGCCTTGTGGAAACCCCGACCAGGTGCTGCACGTACTTCGTCGCGCTTGTCCCCCGAGATCCTAGGGGTAGCTTCTACAGAGAACTACCAAGAACAAAGAGCAGTGTTTGAAAATAAGTATCTATAGGACATACTGTGGATGGACGAAATCCATTTCGCACCACCTAAGAAACCCTGGAATGATTCGATTCCCCCGTAAATACCAACAAACACTGGGGTCCCACGATTGTAAAGTGGTGCGAAAAATCGGATTTGGTCCATCCACAGTAGAGAAGGCCTCCTATAAGACACTTAGACACTTGAGGTAGGAGAACCAACGTAACACGAGGTCCAGTGGTTTGGACCGAGGAATTGACCACTGTTCCCATGGGCAGAGCCAGTGGGTCAAAAGGCCGTTCCCGCAGTGAACATCCCAATCCCGACCAAAATAGGTTCTAAAATGGGTGGTGAATTCACCTACCCCCAAATGGTCCATTTGTTTTGACCCACAATCATATCATAAAAGGAATCAGTTGGGTCAGTATTTATGGAGCACAACCACCGTGGAACATGGGGCTGTTGGACTGCCGCAAAGCAGGAGCCTCCTTTTGGAGCGACGGGGCTATGAACATTGGCCGACTTAGCTGAATCTTTTAAACTTTGTTGGTCTTGGGTTTCACTTTTCCCCTATGTTTCGTTTGAAGGGAATCCCCAGGTTCCTTCCCGAGCACCAGCAAGTCATTGTTCCTTTCAACCCGCAAACTTTTTTTGTTTGCTTTGTTTTGTCAAAGTCCTACTGTGGATGGACAAAATCCTGCACCACCTAAGAAGCCCTGGAATGGTCTGATTCGCCTGTAAATGCCGACCGACCATCACTTCCCATGGTTTTTCAGACCCGAAATTCCAATTTTTGCAACGGAAGCAGCCAGCGGCTCCAAGGGGGTGCCCCTGGAAGAGTGCAACCGCGAGTGGAAGCCAACGGCGCGCTGGGCTGTCGAGTTTTGGAGGTCGTCCCACATTTGTCTGTATTTGTATGGGCCCCCCAAGCTTTTTGGGTTTCCTTTTGGTGTCCCTAGCAACACACAAGGGGGTCCACCATCTGGAGTAGCACCCAAAGTAGGGGGACCCAACTTTATGGCTATTTGGTTTGCCGGATCTTTGGACTTTAGCTTGTTGGTTGAAACAGGTCGGATTTTCCATTGGATCCACAAAACATTAGACACTTTTTGCAGAGGGGTCGTTTACAGCAATCAAGTTTTGCGCGGTTCCTTTTTCTTGGCGGGGGGGACCCCATTTTTGGTTGGGCTTTTTCAAGAGACTCCAACCATGTTCAACCATATGCAGGGTCCCTAATGGTGCGACAACGCCAAATCTGACATACTACCAACATACCACCAATATGAGCTTACCAACAGAAGTAGGGCTTTAGGATGCGCCGCCCACAAAAGCTAAGGCAGTGCGTACCGGCCAAACTGCCCTTAAAGGTTTGGTCAACCAACAGGAGGTTTGGTTTATGCTTCATTTGCTCAAGAATACTTTGTTATTTTGCCCTGTTTGTTTCATTTGGAATCTACCACAGCTGGAAATATGTATCTTCTTCCAGGGCTCAAGCAAATGGAGGTTTAAAAGGAAGAAGAAGAAGGGGGAAAAGCTCTCAAGATTCTCACAAAAGAAACAGACGAGCCCCGTATTTCCCTTGTCCTCTTGGGGGACCGTGCGAAACGTTGACTCCTTGTGCCTCGGGTGCTTTTCCGGGAAGGTGTTTTTCTTCTTCTTATGTTTTTTGGTGGCTTCTCCAGAGCATTTTCCTTGGTCGTTAGCAGCCATAGGGTTCTGGCAAGACTTTTATATGTTTACTTTGCTGTTCTTGGCACGTGCATTATTGTTTTTGGTCCTGGTCTTTTCCACCTTTCCGGTGTGGCTGCACAACTAACATGCCAAGGATTTGAACGTTTATTTATAGAGTTTGGAGGGGTTTGCCATACGCCACCAAGTGTTTAGCTTTTAGCAAGGCATCAACTCAGTTTGAGTTGGGGTTTGCACGTCGAAGCTCTGGGGGTCAATTGAAGGGGAGCTTCCTTTTGGTGGGGTGAGGTTCGCAGGGAAGATATACTTAAAGGGGCGGAACAACAAGACTTGGAAGACGTAGACGCCAATGAATGGGGCGTGTTTTTCTTTCTTTGAGGGTTGCTCCATTGACGTGTTACTCCTGGTCACAGGTGTCCTTAGACGAGTTTGGTTCAAACTCGATGGCACTGGTTTTACTTTGGTTCTAGTCATGTGCCAGTGTCGACTTTTCCAAAAGGGCACCTGTGATCCTGGCCCAAGTTATTTATTTTTTTCAGGGCACCAGGAGCGTGGCCTTCTTTTTTGAGACCTCTAGAAAGTTGGCATGTATCTACGTGCCGAAATGAACACCCTGGAGGGGTTTCCGTGCTTTTCCCAACCTTTGTTTGTGTTTAATAGCATGTAACTTCCAAACAGTGATTGATACGGACAGCTGGGAGCATTTGATGGAACTGTTGGAGGGGCACTTGGATGAACTTGGCAAGAGTCTCGCCCTAAGGTGGGCCTGTAGCAAGTGGTTTTTTGCCAGCCGTCGACCTTACACCCCCAAAGTGCCCCACGTCGGATCCTATAAAACCTGCCATGAAAGAAGTCATAGAGTCAAGGACAAGAAAAGCAAGCCCAGATCCTGCGGGAGTCTCTGCAAATGGTCGCCCCCCTTTTGGCTTGTATTTAGAGGGACACCAAAACAACCAATTTAGGGGGGGACCCCTATTTTGAGAAGCACCCCTTTCAGTTCGCTAGCGGGCTAGAGGCATCCGGCCGGCTCCAAGCAAGCTCCGATGTCCCATCCGCCAGGAGTGGCAAATCATGTGGCACTGCGGCAAGGCGCGCTGTCAGGCTGAAGGTTTTTGTCCATGTCCATGCCATGGTCAAAACGCACAAAATCGCTTGGGAGGAAGGATGGGGTTCCTCTTAAGCGAGCCATGACTGCGGCCCATGTAAGAAGTTTCGCCCGTGACTTTTGGTATGAACCCTTGGTTTCTTCTTGAATACCAACCTTAAGGGGTCCGCCATTTTGAGGAACTGACCACATGGGTGTCATTCTGCCCCGCAAAATTGTCGCCTTAAGACTTAAGACCGTGTTTCTTTTTTCTCGATTCAGTGATTTTTGTTGTCTTCTTCCTTCTTCTACTGCTTGGCTCAGCTTCTTCTGCTTCTTCTTCCTTGCTGCTGCTGGTTCTGCCGCGGCGGCGGCTGCTGCTGCTACTGCTGTTCTGCCTCTCTTCAGGTTGTTGGACAACATTGCTGATGTTCATCCATACATTTTATGGTTTGTTTTGTTTTGTTCTGTTCTATTTGGTTTGGCGTTGGGGGTTGTTGTTTGTCCGGTTGGTCGGCCGGCCGGTTGGTCGGTCGGTCTGTAGTTTATTTTCGCGCTGCTTGGTTTGTTTTCTGGCTTTGTTATGTGTTTTGCTTTGTTTGATTTTGCGAAGCTTTCGATCCTGCTTCGCAGATTTCGGGTGTTTAGAGCACTTTTGTCTGTCAGCGGCCCAGTCAGGCCAGGTGCAGTTTGCGGCCCAAACATCCGCTGTGAAACAGTTAGGGGCCCAAAGTGCCAGAACCAACCCGTTTGCTTGGCTTGTTTGCTTGCTTGCTTGCTTGTCTGTTTGCTTGCTTGCTTGCTTGTCTGTTTGCTTGCTTCCTTGCTTGCTTGCTTGCTTGTCTGTTTGCTTGCTTGCTTGCTTGCTCGCCTGCTCGTGTTCTTATTCTTGCAAATGAGACCAAAGGAAAGCATTTCGGGGGCGCTTCTCGAGCACATCCGCCAGGCCGATACCTCGTCTAAGGCCGAGGGCTACGACGCGGCACCCTCAGTCAAGCGAGGGCTGAACCCCTTCTGACCAAAGTAACACGGTTGACCCCGCCATCCTATTGATGGGGTGGGGGAAGGGGAGCATGTACAGAAAGATTGAAAGACGCCTAGGTCCTATGAGGCACCTGTTTGCACTTCAGGAGGGGGAGGGGGGGAGGAAGGGGAGAGATATGCAGGAAATAAGACATGGAGGTGTCCAGATCACCGCTCAGGTGGTGCCATTGATGGAGGCAGAGTTCCGAAGGGACTGCGTGCGCCGGCCCAGAACTGCCGGCGGCGCTTGCGTTTTCGGGCGGGCTGGGGGGGCCTACGGGGGCTCTGGGGGCGGCTGGGGGGGCGGATGCCGCTTGGAGCGCCCGAACTCCGAAACCCAGGTGCTGCTTCAAAAGGACATTGGGTCAAAATTAAGCCACCAAGGGACTGCATAGTTATACTCCGTGCTGCCCTTGAGTAGCCACTTGTTCACGTGGGGATCATGGTTTGCTTCACCTTTTCGATTGAACCTTTCTGGGCTGTCGTGCACCTCGTGGCAAAGAACTCAAGTTGGAGGTGTCGTAACATGCTTTTTGTTTTTCCATCATTATGCAGCCTTTTCCGGTTTCAGAAAAAAACACGGCAGCCATGACTGGCAAAACCTGGTTTGATGAACCGTTTTTAAGCCGACAACGCACATCTGTCCACAGACACGAGACGGACATGGGAAATGGTTCGGGGTGTTGCGTCACCCAAAGCGGTTCAGTTCCTTTCTCCGGGGGTCCAATTCTGACTCTCGCTTGGTGAACTTTTGTTTTGCCCATACTCTACATGAGGGATTTCGATTGGACCAATGGATCTCCTTTCTCCTTAAGAGGAGAAAAGGCCCAATCAGAGCACACAAGGCAAAAAGCGGCCCTGGATTTGGCAGGATTTGGTTGTAGGATCCCTGAAACCAATCTCCAAACGCTCTGGGCTCAGCAAGGTTAATGATGCACGCTGAAGACGCCCTTTTGATTCTTTTCCATGCTGCTTGGGCATACTGCTTCTGTGGCGCTTGCTTTTTGACCCGTTTTCACTCCCTCTGGCTGGGTTTAAGGATGAGCAAACGAGGGGAGGATCATTTACCCACTTACCAAGGAGCAACAGAGCAAAATGGAGGCTTTGAATCACCAGCCAGTGATCTTTAAAAGGTGTTTTGGTCCCTTCAAAGGCTTCGACTGAGGTGGTCTTCTACAACACCCTCTTCCCCAACATCGACAGCGGCGCCTTTCAAATGCCCGGGGCCCCAACTCGCGGACCAACTCGCGGGTGGTCCGCGGTCTGCCTCGTGGGGGAAACCGCCCATACCTGAGCCCACCCTCTGAAGGGGCAGCCCTTGAAGCAACCAGTTGAGCCACTGGCTCAAAACCGATTCGGGTAAATGAAGGTTAGTAAGGGACGATCCCAACCAGAAGTAGCTGCGAATATCCGCTTCCTAGTTCTTTACATGGCTTTGGGTGAACCATTTTTGTCGTTTTGATTACTCATTGAATCAACCGGTTGTTGTTTCCACTTGTTTGGCTTAGGCCCAGCCTGCCCTAAACAAACCGTAAGCCAGCGGCAAAGCATCCGATGAGTAGATCAAGCCCCAGAACCAACCACAAACCAACCTTGAGAATGCCCCCCTGATCTATGGGGAAGGCAACCCTGCGGTCCATGGGTTTTTGTTTGAGTACACCCACGAATTGAAATGGCGAATGACTCGTCGTCTTCTTCGAGGTTTGGGCCTGCATCAGGTGTCCACACGGGGCCCGAAGATTGCCCCCACAATTTTTGGCCTTGGGTTTCAAGCAGAAGTGTGGCCTTTTTGTCTGCCTTCCGGTAACGCAGAGTTGCAACAGCAAAAGTTGGACATTTGACAGGGCTCCTTAAAAGATACATTTACCCATTTGAAACATGGCTTTTTCCACCAAAATAAATGGACACCTCCATTTGCAAGGCAATGTTCAGGTGTATAATGTAAGGATCCCTGTTTGACTCCCTGAGTTCCAGGAGCGATGCGCATCGGTCGCGCAGTCAGAGTCATCACGCATCCGTGCCCCCACCCCACACGGGAAGAAATCAGAGGCACTCAACGTTGCCAAGCCCCTCCCCCAAATAAATAATTATAATACATCATAATAAACCCTTGCCCTGGGGTTTAAACCCCACACTAAAACAAGTGTTTCTCTCTCTCTCTCTCTCTCTCTCTTCTTTGTTTGACTATCATTATTTATTTGACTAGGGAGTATTTTTTGTTTGGGTCACTCATTCTTTTAATGGGAATCGGTTGAACCCCAGGGCCTTGTATAAAAGTGTCTGAGGACTTAAGTCCTACTGTGGATGGTTGCAAAATCCATTTCGCACCACCTAAGAAGCCCTGGAATGATTCGATTCCCCTGTAAATACCAACAAACAACGGTTTCAACCATGGTTTCAAAGTGGTGGGAACGGATTTTGTCCATCCACAGTAGTAAGTGAAGATTTGTAGGGGGAAGGGTGCCAGCCTGGGAAGCCGAAGTGTGGCTGGTTCTCAGGGAGCATATGTTCGGGATCTGAAGCATCCCCTTGATCTTGACTTCGGATTGGTCCGGAGCACTACTAATCAGAGGAATCCCCCTAAAATAGAGATCATTTTCTTAGCCCTGATGACATGCGAATTTAACCCTGTGGTTTCCTTTAAGACTCCTCCGGTTTACTCCAGGCGATTCCAACTGACGAACTAGGCCTTCCAGCTTTTCCCAAAGCGTCAGGTGATTCTTGCGAAGCAAGCCTCCAATTCTCCGGTTCACCCCCAAATGTTCAGGTGATTCCACCTGACCTAGAGAATCCCCCAGATGATCCTTACTGAGAACCAACCAGCAAGCAGATGGCTTTTCTTCTTCGCCTGCGAAGGCTCCGTGAGATGGCGCTCTCCGGCGACGGGGATCAGAGGGGACTGCGCAAGGCCACTGCGGCGCGCTCATTTTCTGGTTTCATTTTTGAGGTTGCCCCGTTTTTGGGCTTGGTTTAAAGGGGAGTTCAAAAAATAACAGCCCATTTTGAGGCTTCCCCCGTTTGGAGACATACCCATACCGTGGATCGAACTCGAAAAAAAGCGTCCGCTAGGGAAGCACCTGGTCGAATCGGGGTGTCGGGAATGAAGTCTGAAAGCAAACTTGGCAGCGTCGGGGGTGAGGATCCGTTGGCACGGTGAGTCTCCAGGTCTTGGTTCTGGTTTCATAAAGGGTTTTACCTGCTGGTGCGATAGGTAGGGAAGGACCGAGACCGGGTGGGCGGGAACTGGAAGGGGATACCCTTGGAAGGAAAGCATAGGGACATGGATGGTGCATGGGGCGTGATTGCCTCATTCCCCTATTTGAGAACCAGCAAGGAAAACAAGCAGAAGCCGGAATTTCACCAGAGCCTCACCCTCTATGTAAAGTGCCAGTGTACGTCGGGCGAGTGGTTCAAGCAATCTGGGCAAATTGGTTCACGAGCTTGGCTCTGAAGGCTGCTTGAAGTTTCGTTCTTTCGGGGTTGCTCCCACTCTTTGTCAGAGGATGTTCTTAGTAGCCATGGTTATAACTGACCAGTCATGACTGCAACATCTAATCTGATTGCGGCACCGAACACGCACATTGCACGGGTTGTAAATCATGAAAGGGTTCCACACCCGCCTTTTGGGGGCATCTTCTTGGGCAAATACGGCCCCCCGGGCGTCCCTTGTCAGGTCCATTTCGAGGACGTTCGATTGCGAAAGGAGTGACTTGCGAAAGGAGTGACTTGCGAAAGGAGTGGCATTTCCATTGTGATTTGGAGCACCGATGGGCAGCCCTGTATAGGTCTCCCCTACGGAAGGGTCGTGTTAGCCATCGCTTGTCTTGTTGTAAATTCATCTGTGAGTTTCCTTTTGGAAGTATTGCTTTCAGCCTGGACATGGGGGAAGGAACCCCCTTTTTTCCAGCGAGTTACCCCCCATTTTTGTTTTAAAGGGGGGTCACCCCCATTTTCCAGAACAGTTCCCCCTGCTGTTTTGCAGGCTTCCAGGTACCAATGGGCAGACACTCCTTTCGGTTGTCCCCTTCCGGACCCTTTGACCCCCGAAGCCACCGGCTTCTCGCCGGTCGAGTCGGTCAGCGTTTCGAACTCCGTCTGGAGAAACAGAGGCCAACTTGCTGATCATCTGGGTGTCTGGGATAGCCAGGCAGTGGCCTGAGGTGCTCAAATGCACTCTGAAGCAACTCCAGAACATAACTTAACAGACCGAGTTTCGTGCTGAAACTGATGAGAAGCCATGGACCATGTGTGCAAACAGTTCAAAATGGCAAAGCAGAACGACGTAAGCCCCAACAAAGTTGCACTGAGCACGAACTAAAGTCGCCGGCACACATTTCCAAGCAGGCACCGGCCAGAAAAAAGTGTCCGTGCAAGACCATTTCGGAGCCCTTTGCCCGAAAACGCAGAGCTGCCACAAATTGTAACATGTCCGACGTGCCTTGGCTGTGGATGCCCTAACCCTAGATATGCATTTTTCTCTTTCAATTACCAACTGTCTAGTTACCCCGGTCTTTGGAGCAATCTTGCGTATTTTCATGAGGGACAACAAAACACAGATCACAACGTGGATGTTGTTTGAGGGGTATGAGCAACAAGCCTTTCAGGGTCATTTACTCAAGAGCTATGCGCAGAGATATGACCTTAAGAAACACTCTGGTGTTCCCTCAGTTTCGTATAAGAGAAAACGTTTTAACGTCCCTTCCCCCCAAAAAATCAAACGAGTGCAACACCACCATCTCTTGGGGCCTCCTTCCCTGCTGCTTGGCAGGCCGGGCTTCGCGCGGTGGACGTTACAAGAAAGAGTGACTTTAGGCGCGGCGGTTGGCAGCGGTTTTGGGCCTAAGGTTCGGCTGTCAGGTTGGCCCCCCCCAAAAATGGTTGGTTTCTTTTGGGTTTGCCTATAAAAACACCCACAAGAAAAGGGGGGCAATTACCCAAGCGCCAGACCCATGTCGGTTTTTCTTAAAGGGAAGCCCCTTTTGGTTTCTTGGCCGAGTGTCGAAGGACACCAAACGGGAAGCCAGCCACTTGGGGCCTCCAATTTGGAGAAACCAAAGGACTCACTTCGGACCGCGGCCTCAAAGGCCAAGGTTTCTGGTTGAAAACTCTGCCCAAAACCAGAGCAAGTTACACCCAGTAGATGCAGTTGGGTGGATCTTTTTTAGGGGACCCCCCAAAAGTGGTGGTGTTCCTTTTGGTCCAACCACAGGGGGGGTTCCATCAAAAGTCGACACGACGAACATATAGGTATAGTAGATAACCAGGGAACCACCCTTTGCAAGAAAGGAACATTGACTGGCTACCTGTAGGGATAACTGGAATCCACTAGGATAGGCTTGCCAATATGCGGAAACAACCTTTAGGGTACTAGTTGGATGGGGGACATCAAGAGAACAGGTGGAGTCTGCCCAACAGGTTGGAGAAAGTGGGCTTCGTGGTGCTCGTTTCAAGGTGAGCCACCAGCAAATGTTCGATTCGGGGAAATCCTTCGTGACCCCACTTCTTTGTGGCCAGGAAGAGCGAGCAAGACTCGCCTGCTGGCGGCACGGATCTCGGACACGGCTTGGGCTTGGGGCTTGGGCTTGGGCTTGCCCCAGGAACTTAGTTCCACTGCAGTCCCAAAACCCACCCATTTATATAGAGATCTCATTTTAGGGGGAACCTCTTTTTAGGTTCCGTGTTAATTTGTAGGGGGGCAAACTGGGGGTCTTGGGATCTCTGAGTGACCCTTTGGAATTCTTTTGGCACATGTTCAGCCTTTTTGAGTGTAAGCCCGGGGTTCTCAGTGTCGGAAATGTTGCTTCCCCTCAACCGACCACTTGAGTGACTTGGGTAAAGTGGGCAGAACTCACGAGTTGTCCCTCTAGATCCCCTCAGGTGTTTGACCCAAGAATCAAAGAGCATATCGGGAGCCTTCAGCGGGGATGTGCCTTCTAGGAAAAAGCACTTCGCCTGGGTTGAAGTCCACCTTGCGGCAGGGGGGGGACCTGCGCCACCCTCTTTGCGCAGCGAAGTGAGCGCACAAGTACGGAGTTTCTCTCACGGCAAACCACGGTGTGAGTTGAACCTCTAACCACTGACCTCAGAACTTCAAACATGTCGATCAGGTTGGACTAACTGTGGATGGACGAAATCCTGCACCACCTAAGAAACCCTGGAATGATTCGATTCCCCGTAAATACCAACCAACAAGGGTTCCACATCAGGTTTCTTAGGTGATTCAGGATTTCGTCCATCCACAGTATTGCCGGGGCAGGTCTTGAAGAGCTTTCTCTTATCCCAAAGGCACCGTGCTTCACATGGGAAATCTTGACGGTTTTGGATTGTGTCCATCCCAAGGGTACCCGACAGGGGGAACTTGTCCGGACCCTTCAATTGGATTTCCTCCCGTTCCAAAGAGAACCCAGGGAACCCTGAAAGAACTTTTTTCGTTTGGGCCCTTTTTCCAAGCACCCCCCCCCCCCAAAAAAAAAAAGAAGAAGAAGAAAAAAACACACGGTCTATGTGCGTTTTTCTCAAAGCGGTGTGTCTTGGGTTTTGGGGGGGGGGGGGGGGTAAAAGATGCGGCAGCGCTCGATCCGGGCGCCCGATCGGCGAGGCTGGGTGGGCCGTGTGCTCTCCCGCGTGTCCCAGCGGAGGCCAGGCCGTGCCACAAGAAACGTGTCGTTTCTTCTTTTGTTGTTTGTTTTCTTTTTCTGGGGGGGAGGGGCGGGGGGAGTTGTTTTTTTCCCTCTTTTTTTTTTTCTCGGGGGGGTGGGGAGCGGGGAAGTTGTTTTTCTTTTCTGTTTTTTCTTCTTTTTTCTCGGGGGGGGGGGAGGGAGTAATGGGGACTTCTCAAAATGGGCCCCCATTTGGTTGGCAAAGGGAAACCTCTTTTTCGTGGTTTTTGAATGTTGATGAACAGCCTACATATGTTTGCGCTGGCCAGCAGCTGGCCTGCAGAAACTTCAGCAAACGTCTGGTTAGACGTTGGTGGTTTGGATCGGCGGTTTGGTGGCTGCGGGATGGTTTTGCATTTAGCCTCCACAAGAACCAGGAGTTCAAATCCCCAAACCACCAAGCCAAACCACCACAACAGGGTAAGCTGAAAAGAATGGCGCTGGTGGGTCTTTCCGTGAGGCAGCAAAATCACTTGTTGGCCCCCGTTGGCCGATTCAGTCGCGCTTCTCCTCTCTGGTTTCACGGGGAGGTTACAAGAAGGCCAATATAAACCGTCAGAGCCATCTCCGTGGAGCCCAAAGTCCGAACCTCTGCTCAATTCTCATACTGAAGGGGACAAAAAACGTCAAGTTGGCCCAACAGGTGATGCATCTATTTGAGGGGCCCCAAAGATTAAGGAGAAACCATGCTGAAAAGAGCACCATCAAAACAAATACACACACACACACCCATATGCCAATCTTTCCTGCAATCGTCCTCCTTATCGCTGGGAGACAAAGGAAGCTGAAGCAGGCTGGTCAGACCCCGAAACACCGATTTAGGAGGTGGCTTTGGTCACTGCCACACTTAGCGAAATCTTATCTTAACTTTTCGCCTTTTTGTTGCTCCTTAATTTTCTGCTTCAACACAACGTTTTGCAGGGGTCCAGTCTCGCGTCACCCTTAATTACTTGCTGGTTCTAGGGGGGCGAGGGAATGACCTGAGAAAAACAATCCCCAACGGTTTCCTTTACGGGAATCCCTAGGCTCATTCCCAACACCCTTTGGATCATTCCATCAAGAGATGACCATCTCTCCACAGACCCCTTTGCTCGTTTTTTTTCCCCTTTCTCGGCAGGCTGCCAGTATCACAGTGCGATGCTTGGCGATATGTAACCCTGTGATCCAACCATGTTCAATCCGTAGACCCTCATTGTCGTTTCGCCGACATGCTAAGTTGTTTGTTCCTGGTTTTTGGGTTCTCTACTCACTCTTTGTTTCTTGTGGCTTGCGCAACCAAAGAGCCGTGTTTCTTTTTCCGGCGACTGCCGTCGATGTTCATGGCAGGTCGATGGGGCGCATGGTCAGCGTCTTTACTTCGGTGGCATCCTCGAGGCACACCGAGGAAACTGGAAATATCAGGCCATTTTTCACCTTTACTAGGTGCCCCAGTAGTGCCCTTCTCTCCCCTTTTTTGGGGGAGGGTTCCCCTACTGACGTAGACTACAGAAAAAAGGGTACTCTTATTCTAACCTCTCGACTGGAGGACCTAGTCTAAATCGTCTAAATCAGGCAACTTCTGGTTGGGCATTCAACCGGAACGGCCAAAACTCAGGCCATTTAACTGCAGCAAAACGGTCACGTCGAGGCAACTGCCCCAGTGGAGAACTTTTTCGCGGCAGAGTGCAGACCTCTCAGGCACGCTTTGATTTCCCCAAGCCACCAATTCGGGTAACCCTTCGTTGGTGTGGATTGGTGGTTCCCTTGAAACGAAGTGAGAAAAGTACCGTTAGGGTCCAAAGCACCAAACTTCCGCCCATCTTGGCAAATGAAGCTGAGAAAACCGGGAAGCTGAGAAGACCTGTGTGGAAGCCAACCTGGGGTCAAGATTTTGAGCCGGGGTCTTCCACAGGGCTGGTTCTTGGTGTTGTGGAATCGGACCCTCCAAAAAGGCGGGTTTTCCCTCTACACCAATTTCCCCCTTTTCTTGGAATTGTCTCCTTTTCTTGGTCCTTTGGAGGGTTTCTCCTTCTAAACCACCCCCCAAACCGGGCGCCAACAAAAAAAAGCACGACGGGGCCATTGCCTGGGGTCCACCTGGAGCGAGCCTCATGAGTTTTTTTAAATTGGATTGATAGAAGCGAGGGCTACGACTGGAGCTTGAGCCACTTGCTGAAAGCTCGTTGGAAGCGAGGGGAGGGTAGCAAGGGACAATCCCCTGGCCACGGGTGTGGCTGCCTGTTCAATTCTTGAAACATGGTTCTGGGCAGACCATCTTAGTCCCAGGCTTTCCTTCTGGCTCTTACGGGCCGTATCTGAGTTTGTCCCTGTAACCTCCAACACCGGTTCCCTGCGCTGCACACAAACGCCTGCTCGTACAGGCCCGCCAAATGGTAACCAAGACAGCTCCAGTGCGCACGTTCAGCGCTGCAGACAAGGCTGCCGGTAGCGCACCTTGCTATCAGCGCCCAGCTGCAGCTGCACGCTGCTCAAGTGCACTCGGTCAGCACTGCGCACCTGTAAGCGCACCCGCTCAAGCGTCAGCGCTGCACGCACGCCGGCGAATGGTAAGAGCGCGCGCGCGCTCAAGTCCGTTCAGACTGACCTGCTCAAGCGCAGCCAGCCAGTGCTGAGCGCCCGCCTGCCAAATGGTCAGCGCTCTCTTGGTCACCGCGCTCAAGTGCGCCGGTTCACCGGCCACATAGTAAGTGCGCCTGCTCAAGTTTACCGGGTCAGCGCGCTGCGCACCTGCCCAAGTGCGCTCGATCAGGACTGCGCGCCGCTCAAGTGCGCCCGGTCAGCGTTGCACACTTTTTACAACATCCCGACTGCTTACAGCGTCACAGCGTCGCCTGCTCGTTGGGCCCCCTTTCCTCCTTCGCTGCAACATGGTGGTTTTCCCTTTGAAGCCCCAAAAAGGTTTCCTAAGTCCCCCAGTAGTGCCCTTTTGCCCTTTTACCCTTTTTGGGGAGGGTGACTACAGAAAAAGGGTACTCTTATTCTAACCTCTCTACTGGAGGACCTAGCTTCCCTAACCAGCACCTAGTTTCCCAAACCAGCAAGGCACCCATTTAGAAGATGGACTGCCAGACCAGCCAGGGACCGCCCGAGCGAGGGCTCGCCGAAGGACCATGAGGCTCGGTTTTTTTTGTCAACGGTCTGGGGTAGCTGCATGATTGGCAGCCCTACTTTCAAGATCTTTGAACAGGGCTCCTAGATCTCCATTTTGCAACCATTTGAAACATGTTGTTTTTCAACACCAAAACAAAGGGAAACCACCATTTACAAGGCAATGTTCAGGTGTATAATGTAAGGATCCCTGTTGAATGGGAGGGGAGGGAGTTTCCCCATTGAACCGCCAGTAAATTGATCCTGTTCAAGGTAACCATGGCTGTAACCTACACTAAGCGGGAACCTCAGGAAAACATACCAAACTAAAGCGCATGCCAGGAACGGTAAAGGTCCTCCGGGTTGTCAGAGAGAGGAAGTGGTTAGACTGGTTGTAACGACAACCCACCAAAGTCATGTGGTTACCAACTGCGAGGTACTTGTTGACCCATGATTTTGGTGCCTAGAGATTTGGGTGTATCTTTTTCAAGGAGCCCTTTCACTTTGGTTCGAAGGGAAGCCCAAGGGAACCCACTTTGACACACCGCCACTTGGCATGTGTTGGAGTCTCCAGCACTGTTGGACTGCTCACATGCCCATTGAACACGGACCCATTGGACGGTTTCTATCAGACGGGTTCCGATCGCTCGCGCCAAAAGAGAATCACCCAATCCAACAGGGTTTCCTCCATTTCCCTTTTGGAACCTCCAGTGGCGATGGTTTCAATGGAAACCACCGGCAAACTGCAGCTGAAGGGGGAATCCAGTTGTCCAAATGTCCCCTTGAGGGATCGGACCTCCCGCAAGGGATTTCACGATTTTCCTTTTGGGAGACCTCACAACACCACTGAAAGGAGCCGCACCCATTTCTTCGAGCCTAGTTACTTATATCGGTACTCCTGTAGCTTGGGAATAGGGGTAGGGTATAAAGCAGCTGTCAGGGAGGGTTCCGGAGTGTTGCGGGGATTCCGGGGCTGTTGGGGATGCCACATGGGCTTCTTGTTCTTTCTCCCTGTTGGCCAAAGGAATCACTACTTAGCACTACTCGCTCAAGCAATGGAAGGTTACCCGGTATGTAACCAGGTAGTTTTACATGATGGTTTCCCCTCATTGCTCATCCTCTTGAGGGATCCTTCTCTTCAAATGATGGGTCAACTTCAATGGATGGTTTCTGGTGAAGCCTTCGAAAACGAGGGGGAGCTCCTAATGAGGAGCATTCTTTGGGGCGGGAAAAAAGGGCACATTCCAGGACCAACTTTCCATTGTGGAGTTTCCTCTCGGTGTGTCGGAAGTCGCGTCCTTTCGATTTCCCGTTAAGCTACCCAACCAGTTTGGGAGGTGGAAATTCCTTATTTCCAGCTTGTGCATTGCTGAGAGGGGGTCCGGGGTTTGGGCACCGGAAAATCTGGGCGTTACTTTTCGCGAGGCTACCCGCAAATGGGCTCACTACAGGAAAGGGTCCCCGAGGAGGGGTCCCCACAAAGACGCATCAGAAGAGAACTTGCGGATCGAGACGGGTGTGTCTTTTCTAGGGGACCGGGTCCCAAAACGGGTGGTTTTCCTTCTGGTGTCGCCAAAAAAAAGCCGAACCAGCCAAAAATGAGAAGACACACCCATACGGGGACCCCTAAATTGGACGCCCGTTCGGGAAACCCGTGAAGAGGAGCGTTCCTGGAACCTTTTCCTCGTCCCCCTGCAACAAGGACCAAATCTGAGCTTGGCGCAGATGGTGACATCGCAACACAAGGTGAAACTAATCAGGACCGCGCGCGAGAAGGCTTGAGCAGAGCATTCTCCAGCTGCGATGAACGAACAGTTAAGGCAAGGTCAGCTGTAGAAGCCTTTTGCGCTGCCAGTATGGCAAGGCGCTTCAATTGGGGGGTGGCGAGATCTCGTCATCTCAAAACAAGCTCTGCAACTTGCTGAATAACTCAGCCGGGTTGCGTGATTCCTCGAAGACACGACACCCTTGCCATGTGTTTTTTCTGGGTGGGTGGGTGTGCTGGTTGTTTCCCCCCACCTTCCCCCCACCTTCCCCCCCGCTTCCCCCCCACCCCCCCCCCCCACGCTCCCATCCCCTCCCGCTCCCCAGCTAGGTGCCCTTTCTCACCCCTTTTTCGGTTGGGAGGGTTCCCCATTTCTAAAATATACCGAAACAAGGGCAGCGGCACCCAGAAATTAATTCCCAACCTCTCAAATCTGGAGGACCTGGACAAGTTCCTCTTGGCTTCGGCAGGCCCCCAACCTTCCCCATCCCCTCCCCCACCCCCAACCCCACCCCCACCCACCCCATCCCCCACCCCACCCCGGCGAGGCGGAGGACCTGGAGCTGGGAGATCTGGATGTCAAGGCCCCGGAGCCCCAGGAGGCCCAGGAGGCTGGGGGGGGGGGGGGCGGCGGCTTGGGGGGGGGGGTGGAGGGCGGGTGGAGGGGGGCGTTCCAAAGCGTTTGGGGTGGGGAAACGAACCAATACTTCTGCTTGGTGAAGACTTAGTGCCATGGTTCCTGGTTACCCGCTATGCTGAGAACTAATCTATCACTCGCTCAAAGTCAGGCTTTGGCAGTGGCCTTATATAAGTTCCAGTTGCTTAAGAATATCAAGGGAATCTATCACCCGCTCAAAGTCAAGCTTCAGCAGTGGCCTTCAAAGGGAAGCAACAGGGATGGTCGACTGCTTAGACACGGGATGTCTGCAGTACTCGACGACCGGAGTGGAATTCCGGAGACCCCTTCTTCCTGTTGGGATCGAGAAGGGATCGGGAAGAGACCTCAACTGACAGTTGAGAAGTATTCTGAAGTCCGGCTAAGTATAGATCCCCGCTTTGGCCGGTGTGGTTCTTGTTCCATTTTTCTGGACCGGTTCGGATGCGGGCTGAACGGAACTCAGAGGACGGGACACGCAGAGGCAAGCCGTTTTGGCCGGTGGTTTCAAAGGGATCGGACCTTCCAGAATGGCTTCGGTTTTCCTTTTGGTTCCCCTCAAACACCCCTCCCCACCCCAACAAAAACAAGCAACCCCGAAACAAGTCAGAGCCATCTTCTGCGTTTGAGCCATGTTTTTCTGTTTCAAGCAACAGGCGCTTGGCTGCCAGGAATTGGTTGGACACCCTCGCTTCATAGCGACCTAGACCATTTCAATAATTACCAGGCTTGATTTTGGCTCACGTGATGGGACCCGCTGAGGCTGCAAATTGATCACCGGAACGGGTAGCTTCCGCGGCCTCGCGAAAACGAACAGAGACGTCCTCCAAATCGGTTTGTGTTTTTGTGGATGGCATGCTTGTTTGGGAGAAAAGGCGCCCTGAAGTGGTCAGACTGGTTTATTTTGGGGGTGCCTCTTTTTGACTGTACCATTTGGGCGAGCTATGGGAAGGCAAAGGTAAACCCCCCGTGTTTTGAGGAGGCCCCCTGTCTTCGAGACACGCCCAACATTGGTCAGCACGGTGAACTCCCGAGGCTGGTCCAAAAGGAAACCAAGCATTTCTAGGTCCCCAGCTAGGTGCCCTTTTACCCTTTTTTTGGGGAGGGTTCCCCCAGTAAAATAGACGACAGAAAAAGGGGTACCCTCATTCTGACCTCTCTACTGGAGGACCTAGATTTTGAGTTTCCCACCATTTCGAGACGAGCCCACCAAAGCCGCAAGTTCTGTTCAGCGAGTTACTTTCTCAGTACGAGCCACTGAACGACTTGACGGAGGGAACCGAATTGATCACTAGCTCAACTGCACTCTTGTGGCAAGACCACTTCAGTGGGAAACGAAGTAACAAGTAATATAAGGGGCTAAATAGTTACAACATAGTTTCCATAGTCACGAATTTTGGATTTAAAGTGCCCACAGTGCCTCACACATGCACACACATTCTGGTTCTTTGGGTGTGTACTTTCTTTGAGCGTCCTTTTTTTGGCGGCCTAGGGAACCATACAAGGTTCGATCTTGCTCGCCCATCTGTCCAGGGAGGCCAAAGCGCCACCAGCAGCACCAACAGCAACTCGCTCCGCGGGGGGCAGGCCGCTTTGGGACGCGTCTTTGAATGGTGAGGTCCGGGTTGTTGCCACAGGGTCCCTTTAAGCTGATGAACCAATCTGGAAACTGATTTTGAATCAGGTTCCCTTTTTTTCAGCCCACCCCCCCCAATTTTGGCTCATGCCAACACAATCAGCACTGGTTTTCCCCTGCTTTTTGATGGGAAGTGACATACCGTTTGGCGAAGTGCATCATTAACTATGACCATGACCACCCGAGGGCAACTGTGACGGCAACCACCCACTATCCGCCTCTCTTGAGAGACGCTGTGTGAGAGACTTGCAGAGCTGATTGACTTGTACTGTGTGAACAGCTGAGTGAGCTTATTTTGCTTTGTGCCTATATGTGTATTTGTTTCGGCCTTTAGCAAAATGCACAACGACAGACCAACCAAAACACACCCACCCATAAACACACCGCTAAGCAGACAAAGAAAGGCAAACAATCCGTTCGGCAACTCTTGCACATGCTTCTGATCATTTTTCAGCTTCCCGCGGTTTTCTTTTTTGTTTTGCGGAAAGCACGGAGTTGGGTTGGAGTTTGGGGAATCCACTTTCCTCATGCCGGTTCATACTTCGGCTGCTTAAGGGCTCGATGTCTCGAAGCCTAGCCTCCCGATTGAAATACCAAGGGATTGCCCTTCACATTGACACAGAGGCAGGTACGGAAATCCAGAACATATACTGCGGCAACGCAGGATCATGTACAATTACCACGGGCGGTCACGCACACATGAGTTTCCGTTAGGAGGGACAAGCTAGCAGTTGCTTTGGTTTACTCACTTTTAGCAGAGACACCAGCTCCCTCTACCTTTCCCAAAGGTTCTGAAGACTAGATTAGAATAGATTCTACGCACCTTTGGGAGTTTGGACGGGTATTGGAAGACGAAAGCTTTCCTTTTGATCTTTTGGGGGCGCAACTTCCCCTTCGATTCTTGTTCCCCCCCTCAAAGGAAGCCACCAGTCGGAGGGTTCTTCAGAATTCTCTGGGTGCGACTTGGTCTTTCTCCGAGAACCGCAACTTTCAGAAGCGGATCTGGCTTCCCTTTCGAACAGCTCAACAAAACATGGTTGTTGTTGGGAAACATGTTGCTTATTTTTGCTTACTGTGTTTTAGTGGCTCAACAAAACATGGTTGTTGTTGGGGAAAAGTACATTTTTGCCTATTGTGGTTGAGTGGCGGAAATCCAACCACTTAACTGCTAAAATATGTAAATTTGTTGCTCCCCAAACCCAACGTCAACCAAGAAAAAGGGTTCCAGCTGGCAAGCAAGCGACACATCCTTCTGCCCATCGCAGCAAGTCCCGCCCGCCAGGGTCAAAACTCGGACTCGGACACCACCAGCAGCCGCGGCCAAGATGCGGGGGGCCCGGAAGCGAAGCAGGCGATGAAGCCTCGCATCCCTCAAGTTCCAACCTTTTTTGGCTTTGAAGATCGCATGCTTGGTCCTTTTTGGCAAAAAACTTTTCTCTTGGGCGTGATGGAAAAACAAGGGAAGCCTGCTAGAGAGCAACCCACAAAGACGGCCCCAACATTAAATGTCCGGGCTTCAAGGTGAGTTTTGTTGGAACAGGTGATGTTTGGGGACTCCGGTTGAGTTTCTCCATCGTCGTCCAACATTTTCCGGTCAGCTTCCATGATTGGAGGGGAGGGGAACATAGGTGTCCGTTTTCTTGTTGGTGTGATAGGTAGGGAATGTGGGAATGAACCTGGGGGTCCCCTTAAAGGAAACCACCAGTTGGATGGTTTATAGGGGTCATTCCTTTTGGTGCATTTTGCTTGGATGTTAGGACTTTAACTGTTTGCCAACTAATGGGTTTTCCATTCAACCACTAAAAGGTAATCTTTTAGCAGGGGAGCAGAAAGCAACCGAGATTCCATTTCTCATTCCCTGCTATTGCACCAGCAAGTTTTGGTCGGTTTGGTTGAAAATAGATGGCCGGGTGGGATATGCTGCAAGGAAGGATTTAGAGAGGATGGCTCTGATATCTCTCTGCCCCAGCACTTGAAGCTTGGTCAAATCAGAGGGGCATAACAACCCCGAACTTTTTCTGGCCCATCTCATCTCCAAAAACTGCCTTCTTTCCTTGGTGTGGAACGCTCCCATCTCTCAGTGAGCGTACCAAGCCTGTGAAGAGGTAGACTTCTCTGCAGTGTACACTGGATCCTTGTGAATACTTTGAGGGTACCAGCAGTTCTTGGCAATCTGCCGACTTTCTGCCTGTTCCGTCTCGCTCTGAAGGCTGGGTCCAGGTTCATGCAGTCCAAGCGAGTGTTTCTTCAACTGCTACTCTCCCTCCCACTAACATAGGACCGGTAGGAGGGTGCTGGGAGAGCTTTCAACCCAGTCTGTGAAAATTTGCATTTCGCACGGGCTCCGGCCGCTTCTAACCCCCTAACCCCCCAAGCCCCCTGGAATGCACCACATCCTAAACACACTTTCGGTTTTGGGCTGTTTCAGTCTTTCCAAGGGTATGTTTGCGTGTGTGTCCGGAGACCGAACAAAACAAGCACTGTTTGATGACCTTGGACCTTTTGGCAACAAATGGCTTCTGTCCACAACACAATCCTACGGAAGCTTATACCTTTTGCTCAGAAAAGCCTGGGTTGCTCCCAGGAAAACGCTCCAACCAAACCAAGCCGCGGCGGTTGCGGATTTAAGGGTTCAGCTCACGGTTTCGATTCGACGTGACAGGACCAGCTCTACTGCCTGAAGCTTGCCCGGGGCCTCTGCTTGGGTCGATCTTGAGCGAGTGACTTGGAAGGTCCGGTTGGAGTCAGCCGGTTGCCACATCCCGTGGCTGATATTTTTTGGGGGATGTGGCTGTGGGTCCAAAGTAGGGGAACCCCAGAAATGGGTTAGCCAGGTAAAGGGAAACAAGGACAACACCCTGGTGGTTTCATTTTGACCCATACCCATGTTTAAGGGGGAGCCCTGTCTGATTGATTGCGGTGCGCTCCTATCGACTACGCGTTGCTGGGTTGATACCCAATCAAAGTGTACAGTGCACGCGTAATCAGCCCGGAACCAACCCTGTAAAGCGCCCTTTGATTTTCCTTCCTTTCCTTTCTTCCTCCCTCCCTCCCTCCCTCCCTGCCTGCCTGCCTTCCTTCTTCCTTCCTTCCTTTCTTTACTTGCTTTCTTTCTTGCTTTCTTTCTTGCTTGTGTATATGTATGTGAGCTTGTGCGTGCACCCATACCCTGACTCCAAGGATATGCTCGACAACATGGAGCAGGCGGGGCGATGCCGAGCCCTTGGGGTGAAAGGCAACAGGTTTTTCGGCCCCGAGTTTCGGTGCGAAAAGTTTGGTTACATCAGGCTGGTTTCCATTCGCAGCCAAAGACTTCATCGCCTGTTGGGCTTGCAGAAGCCACCTTCCGTTTGAGGTGCCATGTTGAGAGTAAGGGATGCCAGGTGTGAGGTTCCCCCGGAAACGGCGTCTTTTTTTTTGCCAGGCGCGGTACGTCGTGATGCCCCCCAGAGCGCCCGCCACCGGCCCTTTGGCCGCGGCTAGCGGTCGGGGGCAACTTGCGCATGTCAGTTTCGGGTTCGGTTCATGTTGCGTGGGCAAAAAACAAGGGGTTTTGCCGTTTTTTCCTGGAAGAATAGGAAAGGCCAGGTTACTAGCCCGAAAGGCCCAAGAGGAGATCCTTTTTGGAAGGTTTTTTCTTCTTCTGGTGGGGGGGGGAAGGGAACCATGTCAATCAAGTAGAAATATGGAGTATATATACCTGAAATACCAAGGGTTCCTTTAATTAGGCAAACCCTCAGTGGTTTGGAGTTCGTCCGGAACATCTTCAAACTGCGGCGCTCCAAATCGCCCTTTTCGAGGGACGACGCTGATTCAAGGAGGCTGCCTTGGGGTTATATTTCAGGGTTTTGGAGTAAAGGTCAAACGGGCCTTCGAAAGACCCATGTTTGGTTTGGATACCAAAGGGCACGCTGAGACCTCCTGGGTTGATCGGCAGGGACTTGGAGTCCTTACCCATCGTTTCTATGGAGCCGGAAGGAAACCATGGCATGCCCATGCTGAAGTGTGGGGAGTTTGGACAACCGTTTGGAGGGTCTGAATGCGGGTGTGTCTGAAATAGGGGAAGTGGGCGATCTTTTTTCTTTTTCCCTTATGTTTTTTTTTTCCTGTCGCAACCTAGTCCCATCTTCACCCCACCTTTTAGGCCCTATTTGAATTCTTTTACACATGATTTTCTATTTTCCTAGTCCTCGATTTTCCACTCGCAAATGCTACGGACAGCCTGAGCGGGCAACCCTTGTTGATTCCCAGTGCTTCCAGGCGTTTCGCCACAAAGAAGGTAACCCTGCATAGATGGTTTCCCCTTACTTTTGCGGTAACCACGGGTCGATGGGTGTTGCCCGCAGCTCGCAGGGGTCCCTTTGCTGATTTTGAAAGAAGCTCGCCGAACTTGGGGAGCACCGACCGAGTTTTCTGGCCTGAAAAGGTGCTGAGTTTTTCAGCCGAGTGGTTCCTTGCCTTGCTCAACTGAGTTGGTCCCATTACCTTTTTGTGGATTAAGAACCCCCTGGTTGATTCGCAGGGGGCGGGGGGTGTCCCGGGTTTAGTGGGGATTCATCACTATTGGGCCCCCACCCCCTATTATACAGTAGGGCGAGCGCGTTTTGGCAAAGACCCAATTTGGATAATAGTGGTTGGAACTGAACCCACCCCTTCTTTTTTTTTTTCTACCGCAGGGGACCCCCTATTAGTAGGGCGCGTTTCTAATTCCGGGACTATTTTTCTTCTCAGGGTGGAAGTACATACCCCTTGTTCATACCCCTCGGCTTCACTGGTTTCCAACCCACTTGTTGGGGGCTCCTCAAAAAAAAGATACATTTTGCAACCATTTGAAACATGTTGCTTTTTCAACACCAAAATAAGAGGAAACCTGCAATGTTCAGGTGTTTTTCATGTAAGGCTTCTGAAGAGAGGCCTTGGACCCCTCTGTTAGCCCCCAACAACAGGGACCCTAGAAGTCGCAAAAAGGCCTCTGTTGTTGGGGGTAAACAAAAACCCTTTTGAGGAAAGGGGCACGAACACCAGCCGGCCTCCTCTCCCGCGTTTCCCAGTGCCTCACCCTGAGGCCGTAAGAGCCACTCGGACGAGGCGCCAAAAAGTGACCGACCGGGCAGGGTACCATTTTGGGGTGTGGCTCCTGCTTTTTTTTGGTGGCTCTTTTTTGGCGTGGCTCTTTTTGGCGTGGCTCTTTTTTTGGTGTGGCTTTTTAGTTTTTTTTTTGGAAGCCCCAAAAAGAGCGATTTCCTTGTGTCTTACCTTTGCACAAAAGGGGTGCCCTCAAAAAGACACCATGTATAAAGAGTGATCTTTTCCCTTTGAAACCATCCAACCAGGGGTAGCCTCAAAAAGCGACACACCCATGTATAGTTCAAGCAGCTCAAAAGGGGACGTTTGAGGGTGCCCGCATCCGAAGTGATGCCATCGGAATCAGTTCAAGGAGCCCGGTTTTGGCTTTCGGGCAAAGTCTTTGCGAACGCACTCTTCAGAGGTGGACGAGACGGACACAAAGTGCACCAGCGACTGGAAAGACGATTTCTTCCCCTTTGCCCTTTGGACGCCTGCCGTTCCACCGTGGAAGGGAAAAGAGTGGTGGAGATAGAGGTGTGGCTTTGATTCCCCCTGAAACGCCAAAAGCGGGTGACTGCCGGAGATCTCCATTGTTGGCGTCATTCCCCATTTCAGGGACAAACTGGGAAGCATGGAATTGACGACCTCTCTTGAAGGTATGGTGGACCGCCCTTGAGCAAGGTTCCGTTTTTTGATCACCAAGGCAGACTTCAACCCCAACACAGCCAATGTGTTCAAATCTATCTTGGAACCTGAAAACTTGCTGGTTCTCCGCAGGGAATGAGTTGGAATAACCCCTATAATTCAACCATCCCCTATGCTTTCCTTTAAGGGAGTCCCCAGAACCTCTTCATTCCCAGGATTCATTCCCAACACCCTGGGTCATTCCCTACCTATGGCAGCAAGAAGAAGGGCACCCCTAAACTTAAGAGATGTGAACCCGCCGCAGAATTTCCGGGCATCCACCTTTTTGATCTAACCCCAAAACGGGGACTGACACTAAAAGCGATAGCCCTAAGACCCAAAGAGCCCTGAAGCCACCAACATCACCCGCCACCAGGAGGGCTCGGAGGACTTTGCGGATCTGCCGGACGAGGAGCACGTGGAGGTGGGCAGCAACCAGAAGGCGCCGGGCTTTCCCGGGCGTCCGGTGCTCGGCGCTCGGCGATCCGTTGTCGGTTTTTCGGTTTTTCGGGTTTCTCGACTCCTGGTGGGCATGAGAGGACGAAGCCCAAGATTGGCTCAACTTGAGTAGTCGCTCTTTGGGTTTGGTGGCCATTTTAGTGGCAGACAAAAGCTTGGACTTGTTTGTTGTCAATCCACTCAGAGAGTGAGTTGGGGACGGATCGCAGATGCGACTTGGCTATCCATGTTACCAACATAACTTTTGCAAACACGAGGCAAATGGAGGTGTCCAGGTTGCAAGTCGCCGCTGGGTTGGATTCTGGCTAAACATGTGTGGATATATTTCCCACGAATCAACAAACAGTGACCCTCCTGTCCTCCCCTTTGGTGGGTTCCGTGTTAGAGGACCGGGGGCAACAGCCACCAAGGTTCTTCCAAGTAGTCCGGTTCCACTGATTCGGATTGTAGAATTTGCAGCAGCAATGTCTGGGTTTTCTAAAATTAGGCATGTCTTCCTTTAGGGCAACCCCCAAAATGCCCTTCTAACCAACAAGACGGGTCCCTTGGTAAAAGATGCACACAATTCATGTTCCATTTGTTTTCCATTTGAATTTGCAATCAGCAAAATGGCGACATGAGCGGATGCTATTTCCGGGTTGTTGAAAACGAGGTTCCAAGTATTTGTGCCTGTTCTGAAAATTCGGGAATGACCCGAACCCCCTCCATTTGCTTTGTTTTCCCTGTTGGTTTTCAAGGAATCTATAGCCACTTGACATTTGCGAATATTTTGTCCAGGGGCCTTAAGCAAATGGATTCCCAACCACTGGCTTCCTGCAGATGGGACCGACAGACTTTGATAGGTCGAGCCGAGCAGAGAGCGGGTGAGCAAAGGGGCGCGTCAAGCCTACGTGTTGGGTGGTTGCTTTAACAAACCCCTGGCACCCTTTCAAAGGGAAGCCGCAATTGCACAATACACTGGGTTGCTCAACAGCAATCCGCAAGATCGAAACTCAAGGAACCATTCCAAAAAGGGGTGCTTTGCAAACCTAGTTTGACATTGTCCCGTTTTACCTGGCTTGACAAGGATTATTGAAAGGTCTCTATGCCCATGCGGAGTTTCTCAAAATGGCCCCCGGAAACCAAAAGAAACTAGTCATTTTAGGATCCCTGTTCCTATTTCCAGAAACACCCATATTGGTGTGGCTCAAAATCAAAAGAGCTAGGGCAAACCGTAGGCAGGCTTTCTTCTTTGGTTCCATGTAGGTGACATTTTGGGCTTCCATTTTTGTTGAGCCAAAGGTTGTGTAAGCGGGGGTGGTCCAAGGGGTTCATTCAGGCTCCTTAAAAAACGCCTGTCCCTAGAACGTTCAAGGAACCGGAAATCCAGGGCTCTCAACTAAGTAACTACCCACCCCCCCGCAACCTGCCTAAAGCCGGGCGCTGCCGGGCGCTTGGCCAGGGGCGGCGCTCGACCCGCGGGGATTGGCTCCAGGCGGGTTGACTGAGCCACGGGCCCACCCCGGAGGTTTTGGACATAAATTTATTGTATGGTTTCTTTGAGAAACATCTTGATACAAAGTGCGTCCTATTTTTTTCTTAACACACACATGCATTACTCATTATCTTTAAGAGAAAGCAACCTTGTTGATGTCCCTTTACAAAGCCACCAACAATAGGCTGGGGATTTTTTTGAAAGGGACGAACCCCCACCTAAGACCATGTGTATTGATTTAGCAGATGTTTGGCGGTGATGCTGGCAATGCCGGTGATGCAGCCGATGATGCAGCCAGTGATGCAGCAGGTGATGCTAGTGATGCAAACCAAAGCTTGGTGGGAAGTCGGGCCAAGTACAAGCGCGCCAGTGTTGGAGCCATCGCCTGTCTGTGGGCCAGGAAATGGAAACCTTGTTTGGATTCTTTGGCATGGGGATCTCCCGCGCTCATTTCCCAGGTTTCATTTGGGCTTCCTCTGTGCGGAAACTCGATGGGGTCTTTCAAACTTAGGCGGTTCCACGTGTCTCAACAAGGACAATAGCAAGCCGGTGCCAAGTTCCCTTTCCGCTATTTGTCACCTTCTCTTCGCGTTTCAGAATATGCGTTCTTTTTCCCTGTGGGTGTTAAAAGGGATATATTTGTTCAGGGGACTTCAAGCAAATGATGGCTAGCCACGTGCACGGATCCTTAAAAAGACTGGCTCTCGGTCAACGTGTTCTCGGGGCGCTCAGGGGGTCGAGACCGAAGAGGAGGCGGCGGAAGCGAAGGCAGGGTCCCCGCGGGTTCGGCTCGCGCGGTTCCGAGCCGCGCTGGAGTGCTGCAAGGCTTCTTGGTGGTTCACCACAGATATAACCTTTGGTGCATGTTGCTTGGATGTTAGGACTTTAACTTTTTGCCAACCACTGGGTTTTCCATTACACCACTAAAAGTTAAGCTTTTAGCAGGGGAGCAGAAAGCAACCGAGTAACCCACAACCACAACAAGCCCTCTAAGGAACCCTGGTTAGAACCACTGAGCATCAAGAAGCAACCAACGCGTGAGGTCTGTTTTCCATCTTTTTGCAAGGGTTTCTCTTGCAGATCTCGCAACGCAAGTGCCCAAATCCACTGAGAAAGCTGGGCCCGGCCAAATGAGGCCAAGAAAGAGGCAAGCCTAAGGCAGAATTAGGTCTTAAAGGTTGCAGTGAGCTGGAGTTCCTGGATGGGGTGGGTATTTTTGTGGTTTTTCGAGATGTGCGGATTCACAAGATCAACCTGGCAAGGGCAGGTCAGAGGGTTCTGGGCAGATTCCAGAGAGCTTGCGGGGGGAGATATTGGGGCAATGAATTTCTTACTTGCTGAGAGTCTGGACTTGATACTCTTTTAAGAAACAGTGGCCAACCTACTCAGGAAGTGAGATTTGGCGATGCCGTTGTGGAATACTATGTTTACCCCCCCCCCCACATGCTTCAAGATGGAACTTCAGGGGATCGCAAAATTATCATAAGAGGGGCACAATGAATGCTAACCGTGGCTGCAAAGTGACACGGGCAGGTCGCATCAGCATTTGGTGTTCAATCTCCCCCGGTTTCAAAGAAGGATTCACTATTTGCGGTCAAGTACAAATGAGATCCAAGTACACTCCACTACTGATTCAGAGCCAAATCGAGGAAAAGCATGGGCAGTTCTCCGTGGTCGTTGACGGCTCCTAACCGTCACGCAGTAGTTGCAAATATGGGTATGGGTCAAAATTAAGCCACCAGGGGACCGCAGGTTTTGGTCCATGTTTCCACTTACCAGGGTTCCATTTTTGGTACATATTTTTGTCCCCTACCGTGGCTGGAATCAGTAGACGGATTTGGCGTTTTTGAGGGTACCTCTGGGTTTACTGCGGAACCAAGGAGAGAGCACCCATTTGCAGCCCGTTTTGGGAAACCTCCTGCGTAGACGGCATGCCTAGCCCATACATTCCATTTCGGGGTTACCATAGCATGAGAGGGTATCTCAAGAAAATGGTCAGTAGCCCTTGACAAATAGCCTGCCCCATCTTTCCGTGGGTTGCCATGGCTACTGATCATCATTATCAACAAACCCCTCATTGATTCATAGGGCCGAGGGTGGGGGTTCAATCCACTTGGGAGGGAAGGTGGATCACCTTCCCCTAAAAAAACACATGTTTTTTTGTGTTCTCAAGACCACTTTCGGAGGGGTCCCTTTTGGAATATTTCACTTTGAGTTCGAGCCGGTCATTCGGATGTCATCCAAGTGTCTGCCAGGACGACATCAGAAACAGCCAAGAGCCCGGAGCCCAAACTTCGGGGTGTCTGAGGGACGAAATCCCCATGGATTTCGGTTTGCCCGGTTGGGCTCGGCTTTTAGATGGAAACCAGGATTTCGAGTCGTGGCCCTTTAAATGCAACGCCAAAAAGGTATCGATTCGTACCTGAGTGGAACATCCTTAAAGGTATACTCACAAACTTCCCCTGACCGGGTCTCAGACCAAACCCCGGAACAATATGACAGTTACTCGCCTTATGGGCCTATTTACCCCTGAGTTGCCCTTATTGTTTGGCTTATCCTTAAGGGGTAGGGCAAAGGGGTTTGGTGGTACAGCCTTTGACTAGACCAAGTTGGGAATCCCAAAGGAACTCTTCCAAGGCCAACCAAAGGAAGGCCGAAGGCAAAGAGCCAAACAGAAGAACCCCGCTGGAAACCACAAAACCAAAGCAGAACCAAAAGACGAACGGAGGAATACCAGAAAACCAAAGAAAACATAGAGGAACATGATCATATCAAAGGAAGCAAGAGACACACCACAGGAAGACCAAAGACCAGCCAAGGAATCGAAAACAAGAGGAAGACTTGAGAAAAGCCAAAGGACCAAATCACCAAAGGTCAAAGGTCACTAAAGATCACCAAAAGACCGGATGCAAGCTAGATGAAACCAGGGAAACCAGACAACCAAAGCAGAAGAGGAAAAGAGAAGCAGATGAGAAGCAAAGGGCCACCAGATCTACGCCCTGTAGATGGTCTGGGACTAGCTAAATGGTTTCGGCCAATTCACCCCCACTTGACCCGCCCCACTTGACCCATGCAAGTCGGGTTACAAACCTTCTCCTGAGTTTCGAGACTTTCGTCACTTGGAAAGACCGCAGTGGCAAACAACATCTTCGTTTTGCGAAACGTCATCGCTGTTCTGCGTGCCCAAAAGGCCCCGAAAAAGCCTTGAAACGAAAGGCAAACGCCCAGAAAACGGTCAGACTCGAGCTTTTGCTTGTGCGGACGGAGCAACCCCAGCTTCAACCCACGAAAGTGCGCTAACCATTTGTATGTTTCTCTTGTAAATTTATCGTTTTAGGGCGTTTTAAGTGGCATTTAATGGTCGAATTTGACTTTTTGGGCACCCATTTTGCTACCCCTTCGAGTTGTCGTTCAAGTGTCACGACCGAACAACTACGCCTCAGGCTGAAGGACCGCCCGCGCCTGCCGCGGCGCAATGCCGGGCTCCCAGTGCACCGAATTGGAGAAATCGGCGAACTCGGGTTTCAGCTTGTTGGCTGCGTGCTTCTTTCGGTTTTCCTTTTGATCAACCCAAAAAGGGTACCCTCAAAAATGGCAGACCCATTTTTTGGGGACCCCCCAAAATGACGCAACGGTTTGCCTTTTGGTTTTGCTTTGAAACCCACCAAACAATTGGGGTCACCTCAAAAGGAGGCATAGGTATGCAGAACCCATGGGTCCGAAGCCGTACCACACCCGAGTTTCTGAATGGGGTCTCAAAACAAGTGATTTTGGGCTCCATCAGGAACGTCAGGGTTGTTGGTTCTCAGTTTTTGTTTTTCTGCCATTTGCTGAATGAATAGTGACGAATAGTGTATATTTTCTCCTGTTGGTTTTGAAGGGAAGCTACATATCTACTGGACAGCTTTTTGTTGTTTCCAGGGAGTTTGTTGTTTGCTTGTTCCCAATGGTGAATCTTTCATCACCAGGAGACCCACGCGTCTAACAAAGGGGTTTGGACCCGTTTTGTTGGATCCTTTTGGTTGGGAACCCCTTTGTTAGATTTGTTTTCGATCTCATTCTCCAGATTGAGTGATCTCATGTTCTCGCCACTTTCCCTCCGAAATGGGGGACACGTGGGTTTCAGGCAATCAAAGGGTAGCGATGTGTTTCAGGGGTTTGACGTGATTCCATATCCCCCAAGAACGAACACCCGCTTCATGGTTTCCCCCTTGGCCCTTGAGTTTTCAGGATCAATGGCCATGTCGATTTTGGGGATCCCCTGATTTCGACGTCTGTTGGGAATGGACACAGTTTGGCTTCCGAGTTTGATCCCTTGGCTTCACATGTTGGGGGAAACAACAAAACGCTTCATAGCCTCTTTCCGGTGATCCAGAGCTTCCAGGCGTTTCGTCACAGTAGGTCACCAGAGAAAGCCATGCAATGGTGAGACCTAGGGGTCAAAATGCCAGGTTTCTATTCTTTGCAGGCACAGAAAACCTCCGGACACCCAGGCAAAACGGCTTTTGTGAGCAGCACGATGGTCAGAAAGAATGGAAACGGAATCAACCCCTAGACTCCTTTTCGATCATTTTCGGCCTTCTTGCCCTGGGTGACCCAAAACGGCAGAAAAAGCGGATCCGAAGCTTTTTCAATCCTTTTTTTAAAGGAGCAACTGGCCCTCTCTTTTGCCCTGGGTGGTGGGCTGTTGCACCAAAAATATCCGAAAGCATTGGACCCCCCGAACCTCGGAGAGCGAGCGCCGCGGGTCCTCCGAGTCCAATGCCTCCGTCTACTCTGTGGCGGAGAGTCTGACGTCAGGGTGCCCAGGTTTGGAAGACTGCAGCTTGGTGGGTGCTTGGACCTCCAAGGAGCTTGTCTCATGGAGGGAGGGAAAGGACCCTTCCCAAGGGCATTCAGGGCAGGCTTTTGGGCTCGCTCCCGAAGCCCCCCCTCTCCCCAGGACGCATTTTTTTGGTGTTCAATCAAGAGAACAAAGGCGAGTGGGGCTTCCCACTAAGTTGGAGCCTAGGATGGAAAAGGCCGCTGGATGAATATAAGGGTCACCCCCGAATCCGCGAGGTTGATTCGCCGCTTGGCCAAACATCGGTTTGGGGCCCAGAGGGCATTGGTTTTTGCTTGTTTCCCTAAAGGAGCCTTTAAAGACCAACCACCAATGCTCGTGGCTTCCCCAGATTTCAACCTTTGCTTGCCTTTAAACACCAAACCAGCAATGCTCGTTGCTTCCCCAGAGCGATCAACCAACATGTCCTTTCCGTTTCCCTTAAAGTTCTCCTTTTAACCGCCAACCAAATCGCCTTTTGATTCCCCTCCGCCCTCCGTTTCCGTTGAACAAGTGAGCTGCAATCAAAACCATGTCAGTGGAGGTTAGGGGCGCCACTATCATTGAACCGCAACAATGCGAACAACCAATAACCAAAATCAAAAGTTATACCACCAAACTCCTGCAACATACTCCTTGGATAGGGCAACAATTAAGGGTAAGCAAGAGGTAAACAAGCTCTAAACATGGCTTAACATTCCTCTTCGGACTTTGGTCTGGGACCCGGTCAGTGGGGGAAGTCTTGAGAGGCATGGGCTCCCTTTAGTATGGTTACGAATCAGTATCGGGTTTTCTGCTTAAATTGGAGGGGTGTGGATTGAAATTTTGTCTTTTGTGGGTGCACCCACGTAGGGCTGGTTTCAGCTTTGAAACTCATGGGATACCACCACTTTTTTTCTTTTCTTCGAATGCCCCTCAAAACCCAAGGGTCCGAAATTGAACAACTCCGAGCTGGTTACCTATACCTGGTATCCAGCACGGGAGACTGGCAGCTTTGAGCGATTACTTTGTCAATCATTCAGATAGAAGGAACGTGGTGTTGCTTTTGGTTTCCCTGTACACCTACTCCAACAAGGGAGCCCTCAATCACACACCCATGTTTTTCTCGCTCGGGGCTGAGGTTGTTCCGCGCTCGTGCCACACCGCACGCCCCTGGCGCGCTTGAGAATGTGGTTGGTGCCATAGGCCGAGGACTAGCAGTATGTCATATTTCCCCGGTTGGCTTCAAAGGGAAACTATCGCTGCTAGAGGTGGTTTTAGAACCGTGATCATAGGTGTCCTTTGGATCGGTTTCACTTTGTATCAAGTATGGGTTTTCCATTAAACCACTAGAAGTTAAGCTTTTAGTAGGGGAGCAGAAAGCAACCAAGAGTAGTAAGGTGTTTTGGTGGATGAGAACGCGCACCCCTTCAAGTGCCTTTTGGGAAGACCATTTGAGTCGCTTCGGCAGAAAGCCTGGCACTTCTCTTCTGAAGCCACTTCGGACGTCAGTTGTTCGGAAGGTGGTGCTCATTGAGTTCTCCAAACCTCACCCTCTTTGTCGATGTTGTGTCGGGTTTAGGTCTTAGGTGGCGCCTGGCCGCCCCCGGCCCGCCCCTGGCCGCCCCTGGCCCGCCCCCGGCCTGCCCCCGGCCCGCCCCCGGCCTGCCCCCGGCCCGCCCCCGGCCCGCCCCGCCCCCGGCCCGCCCCCGGCCCGGCCACAGGTAAGGTCTGCCCCAAATTGTTTGGTAGCTGGCAGATTCATAGGCCAAAGGGGTTTCTTCTCCCAATCAACAACCAGGCGTTACCCTCCCACCAACATGGAATGCGCAGACCCCTGCAGAACGCCTACTTTCCTCTTGGAAAGGGGCCAAATGTGCACTTTTATGTTGGGTGGATGGGTAAGCTTGCTGGGTAGGTTGGTAAACCCTGTCTTAGGCAGCAGCTCTGAGGCGGGGCGCCTCCTTTGTGACTAGTAACTTTTTGCTTGCCATCTGGGCAGCCTCGACGCACAGGCTTTCTTGGAGTATCCCGCCTTCCGGGAAGCCCTGTTTGGATTTGTTTTTTCCCATTCGGGAATCGCAGTGTGGGCCGTCATCCAGTTGGGTTTCCCCGCAACCCCCCTATATATAATATATAATATACTATATATATATATATCTTTATACACATATATATATACATATATATATATATATATGTATAACTAGAAATGGTTTTCCCGCTGGGTTTCCTTTTTTTCCAACCCCAAACTGGGTACCGACTCTTCGCTTACTAAAGTTTTTGGGGTTGGACCGCTGTAGTGGTAAACAAGAAGCGTTTACTTCTTTTTGGCCCATCCACTCAGGAAGCGAGTTTAGGCAACAGACATAAAGGCTTCCATCAAGGCCCCCCATTGTGGCTGGTTCCCCCACGGAATTTGATACCCATCCACTCGATGGGAAGTGAGCCACAATCAAACCCTGGTCTTAAAATGAACACCAGGTCTCAAAGTAGTCTCAAAAAATGGTCCGGACACCCAGGGAAAACGGCGATGGGTTTTCGAAAGAAGGATGGTTCAAAAGAATGGGACAGCAAGGGAATCAACCAGTAGAATCCATTTTAAGCCTTATTTGTTTTGGAGCAAATGGCTTAGCCAAACCAATGTAAAGAACCACAAAGACGGAAAACTCGCGCCGAGTTTTGCGGGGCGACTGTCCCATGCCAGCTGCCGAGCTACCGACACCGCCAGGCTGCTGGCGAAGCTGCCGAATGGCCAGGTCTGCTCCAGCGTGATGCACGACCAGGTGGCCCAGGCCTGGCTACGAAACGAGAAGGGAACAGCTCCAGGTGGGTGGCGCGGCCTTTTTTTTTTGAGTTCCCTCGATGAAGTCGTGGTGGTCCCTTTTGGCTTCCCTTTCAAAAATCACCATGCTGAGAGGCCCCAGTTTTTGGGAGGGTTTGAAAAGGGACCCCCCGGTACTGGATGCATTTTGAGGGGCCCCGAAAAAAGACAGAGCCATCTGACAAACATTTCCCGCCGGGGGGGGGGGGGGGGCGGGGCCAGGACATTGCTTTGCTTAAGAGGGGAGCTCCAGTTCACCACCCCCTTAGATGCATGGGTCTGGGTTTTGGCTGCTTACAAAGCCAGGAAGCCAAAAGGATGTTCGCTCCTCAGAAGCTGCAATTGCAAGGCCCTCCCCATGCAAAACGAACTGGGACGGTTTGTATGTTGAACCCATATAAAAATGGCTCCCCCCTTTTTCGGGGACAGCCATCTTGTTGGGACACCCATTTTTCGGGGATCTCCCAGCGCCCTCCCCAAGTTCCTGGACTTGTTTCTTAGTATTCGTTGGCAAATCCACTCAAGTGATTTTCGGAGGGCCCCCCTTTAGCAGACTAACCGTATATGGGTTTGTGATTTTTTGAGGCTCGGTATGGAAACAGGAACCCCCCACCATTTTGGGTGTCCCTGCATTTTGACACTACCCATCCTTGGCCCAAATCTCACAACAAATATTCTGTTCAGATTTTGGCTCATACCTAGACTCCCATGGGCGTGTCGTTTTTTTTTTTTGGAGCCCTTTCTTCGTGGCGTTAAAAAGGAAACCCAAAGAGCACATTTTGTTTGGGGGAGAACCTTGACTGCTATTGGGTTGGATCTTTAGGCTTTAACTTTTTGGTTGAAATCAAGCTGGGTTTTCCACTACCCCCCCCCCCCCTCCCCATTTTTACTTTTGTTTAAAACTTTTTGCGGGGGGGGGGGGTCGTTGCAGCAACCGAGGGTCCAAGCTATTTTTTCAGACCCCCGTGGCCAGCCTCGTGGCCAGGAGGTCTTGGAGAGCGGCGCTGAGCTCTTCATCGACGACTACAGGCGACTGGGGGGGGTCTCGGAGACGCCCGGCGTGGGGGAGGCGGAGAACTCGTGGACCGGGGGACCCGGGGGGGTTTGGGGGCCGGGGGGGGGGGCGGTTCATTGGGAGCAAACAAAAGGAGTGAACAAAAAGACAAGTGAGGTTCTTGGGCGGTTCCTGGCGAATCGTCTGCTTGCCTGGGTTTGTTTTGGGTTTTGAGGGTTAAGCGGGGAATTTGTTCTTTTTAACCCACAAGTTAAAATATTTTAGCAGATCTGGAACGGGCATCCCAGTATTCAGGCCCTTTAAGATAACTTAAGGGGTGTGTTTTGGCAATGAACATGGGCCTTAGAACCACGGGAATAGTTGGTTGTCATTTAGTAGCTACCCAGCTACTCGACGTCTGCCCCCTGTAAACGTGGGTGGTGTCTGGCACGGGATCCTTTTGAGACAAATCCAAGGCGCGAGGTGGGCTAGTCAGACACAAGAAAGTGGTGATAGCTGTATATGTATTTAGGCATGCATGGCTTAAGCCATTTGAAAATAGGTAATACATAACAGCTAAGAGGCTCTTAGACATAAAAGGTCAATATATAGGTATTAAACTGTAATATATCATATAGGTATTACACATCAAGGAACCCATATTACATTGTCCTTTGGCTTCTTCGGATTTACATGCTTTGGGGAAAAAATATATATATATATATATATATATATATATATGAAAAGATCGACCCGTTCAGCCTGGGGCTCCAGATGATTTGCTCAGCTTGCGGGCGGTGAAGGAAGTTGACCCGGAGCCCTGTTGCTGACCCCATCATTCCGGCTAGGTTGGGATGGGAGCCCACCATGTGGGCGTTCATTGCTTGCTGGTGGCCCGTTCTTGGACATCCTCGAATCTGTACCATCATGTGGGTTTACCCAGCACCGTGCTGGGCTCTGGAAAGGCATCCTCGCCAGCCGGTGGTGAGGATCGTGGCATTTGCCCAGCCTGGGAGCAGGGTGATGGACTATTGTCACATGTGGGATTGTCAATGCCGGGTGAGACCGGGCAGGAGGGTGCACTTCGTGCAATGCCTTCTGGCACGCAAGAAACAACCTAGAGCCGCGGAGAGATCTCCTGGACAATTTGCCGATACGCCTTTTGGAGGCAGAGGGGATTGTTAAGGGCCAATTTGCAGACCCCAAATAGACATACCCCAAAACTTGGTGGCCCTCAGCCGTCCCCTTAGCTTTCTAGGCTTTTAGGGTTTACGGGATCTGAGGGTAGCCCAGAAAAGTGATTATATAAATGGGTTGTGGATGGCCCCTTTGTCAAATGGTTTTGCTCTTTGCGGGGGTGTTGATATGTCTTTGGAGGTGATCCAGTGAGGCCACCACTGGTCTTTGGGCTTCAAATGGCTTTTCCATCAACCCTGCAAAAGGTCTTCCCTGACTTTTCCATTGAACGTAAAAACTGCAAGACGTTTTGCCCTGGGCTTGGCGAATTCAATTTGGTTTAGCGACACGTTTACCGGTACCGGGGGAATTCCATTCGCCATTCTAGGTGGTTCTGCTTGGCCCCATAGTTGGTTGTCTTTAAAGGGATACCAAACGAAACAATTTGCAAAAGGGGTTCCAAGCTAGGTTGTGGTTGGGCCCACTTAAACAAATGATTTCCATCGTAGAACCAAAGGTCACTGGATGAAACGGGCGCAGTTTCCCAGCTGGTTTCCCCCTGCCGATCCCCAAACAGGGTATGCGAGATTTCTGCGTCCTTTGTTAGAGGCCCCCCCCCGCCAACACAAAACTGGTGGTTGTCCTTTGGTGTTCCTTTGAAACCACCAAGATAGGGATACCCTCAAAAAGACCAACCCCTCTCTCCGCGCCAGCCCGCGGATCATGTTCCTGAAGCGGCTCTTGGTGTGCTACGCCCTGTGCGGTGTCTACTACAGCGAGGCCCGGCCCACGGGCCACGAGTTTTTGTCCACGTGGGTGGTTTCTTCATGGGCCCCTTGTCTGGTCAGAAGGGAATTCAGACTCTGCTTTCTTGCTGTGTTCTTCGAAAAAAACCCAGTTGTGAATCTTTCGCGTTTCCTCGAACTACCATTTTGGGGTCTTGAAGCGAATCCAATGGTTCCCCGCATTGCTTGGGAGGTGACCCAGTGAGGCAAGCCCTTAGTCGGTGGCTGGGTGGTTCCGATTTGGATTTGCAACCCCTGGCTTTTGTAGAATTGGTTTCCACCCCGTTTCATCCATCCAAACCACGAATTCGCGGGAGGTTGTTAGTGGAACAGGGGTTGGTTGACCTACCATGGCTATAACCAAGGTAGGCCAAGATCGGTACAGAAGTACTGCCCGCTGTGTCTTGTGGCGCCTTGACTGAAGAGTGGTTCCGTATGTTCCCTTTTGGGCCAAACCAGCTAAGCCAACTGGACTAAAGACAACTTCTGCTTTCTAGGGTTTGGGCTCAGCTTTTGCTTTTATTTGAATTGCGGATGGACTGCGTGAGAAACTTCACACCGCCACTCAAAAATGGGCCTCCCACCTAAAAGGCTCTGCGATAGGTTCTGGATGTCGACATTCTCCTATGTTGACTTGTTGACGTAGGTGTGGTCAAAATACCATGAGTTGTCCATGACAGACATGGGGGACTCACCAAACAAATTCAATCAGAAAAGGTCACGGGGACATCCTACTTTTTGACATGGAAGCCGGCCCCAGATTAATCAGCCTGACCCATTATTAGGGGGGTGTTCCCTGCACAAGTGATGACCCCCCACTAAAAGGGGACACCCAACCCAGATTAGGAGAGTTCATATTTTTTTCCATGGCTCTGGTTTGGAAAGGGACGCCAAGGGGAAACCTGCTGCGGGGTTAAGACACCCCGTCCCCTCTCCATAGGTTTCGCAAGTTCTATAGGCCATATGAACTTGACTGCTATTGGGTTGGATCTTTAGACTTTAACTTTTTGGTTGAAATCAAGTTTGGTTTTCCACTAAACCCCCAAAAAGTAAAACACATTTTGCAGGGGGTCATTACAGCAACCAAGTGAAGAACCAAAAAAGAAAAAAAAAAACCGTGCCATGGAACCTCCAACCATTCATCTCAACCCAAGGATCTGATGGCACAAGGATGGGTGCCCTCCCGCACTTCTTCCAAAGCGAATCGACGTCTTGATCGGATGGAGATGTCAAGGTCCTGAACAGCTGATCGCCTTGTATCTCCAGGTCCCCAACTGAGATTCTGAAAGGATCTGGATCACCATGGTAGACCTATTTCTGGCGGGCCGGCCAATACCTTGTCACATGAAGACGTTAAACATGCAGCGGTGACATCACCCATGTGCAGCACGTATCAAAGCGAAGCAAACCATCCAATCATCTACCAGAAAACAAACATAATTTCTCGATTTTTTCCAACCAAGAGCACGCCTCTGTCTGGATCCGTACGTCCCAAATGGCCCGAGCCCGAGCCTTCCCCGCCTCTCTCCGGCGAGCGAATCCGAAGGCCGGGAACACGGAGCAGCTCGGGGACCCCTGGCCTTATCCAGTGGCCGCGAGCTCAGGCGCGCGCAGGACGCGCGCCGGGGACACCGGGAAGGCCAAAGGAGGGTTTCTTTCCCCGAAAAGAAAACGCCGGGGGCTTGGCTTAGTTATACATATATATATATATATGTATACATGTATGATGGGTCAAGATTCACCAGGATCATGGACCGCATGGTGCAGTCCTTGCTTTCCTATGAAAAATCCCAGACCTCCAGTTTGTTTTTCGCTTTTCGACGTCTTTTTTGCTTGGGTTTCCCTGTAGCAAGCTAAGCGCACCAAAACTCATCCGGCTTGGTGGCTTGGTTGAGTGGTTTGGGCGTTGCCCATTTTTTGAACAGGGCTTCAATTCCCCAAATGCTTGCTTTGATTCGAGGGAATGAAATGGGGTGTGTCCTTTTTCAGGGCACCCACCAGCTTTCCTTTTGCTTTTTCTACGAAAAGGGCACTGAGGCTCAAGAAAGGAAACCAACCAAGGTACCCATCCTACAACACAAATCGCAGCTGTGGGAGAGTACCGAGAATGGCAACGGAGGGAGCGCACCCAGATTCCGCATCTTCTTTTTTTTGGTGCACCCATTGCCCCCCCAACTTTTCGAAATGTTGGGTGGTCGTTTTTCTCCAGCTTTCTGGTGCCAAGCCATTTCCGAACTTTTTCCTTCTCACCAAGACCCCAGTGACCCCAGTGACCCCAGTGACCGGAAACCTGAGCCACAATCAAAACCCGGGTAGATGAAGGTTGATAAGGGACAATCCCAAGAAGACCCCAGTGACCCCATTGACCTGGCAGGGGTCACCTGACGGCTGAGGCCTCGGTGCTTGGCCACGGCTCCAGGGTGTTGATCCGCCTGGAGGCGAAGCGTCCGCTTTGGTGCGGCTCCGGCCTTGGCTGGTTTTCAAGGGACTCCAAAGAGGAAAACCCGTTGACCGCTTTTTTTTTGGGGGGTGGGGGGGGTGGTCTGCCCGTTAAAAAAACAAAACAAAAACATATATGGACACAGCCGAATGCTGGGTTGGATGAAAGAGGTTCATTTGCAGAGTGGCTAAAGTAACCATAGCGGTGAGTAAGCAGAAACTGGTGCCTCAGGTAACCCTGGAAAGAGATATTTTGACGCGCCACTGAAAGGGGCAGTGGTTATTGCCAGTCCCCGGTCTATGGGTTATAACCATGGCTTCTAGCCCTCACACTTTGAGGAAGACCATTGAGTGGTAAAAGCAAGTTTGGACTTTTCTTGGCCAATCCACTCAGGAGGAAAGCTGTCCGCGGAAGAGGAAGCTGCAATATGGGCATCCCAACCGCTTCACAGGAAGAAGGCCTACAGGTGGAAACCCAGAGTTGAGGATTGACTTGCGATCGGTGCGAAATCGGTAGGGACCGATGGAATGAACTGTGTTGGGGGTCCCCTTAAGGAAAATTCACCGGTTGGATGGTTTGCTGGTCATTCCATTTCTCTCTCTCTCTCTCTCGCACCAGCTCAGGAAAAACCATCATTCAATCCTGGCACTGAACTGATCAATGCCCCACCCCGCCAAAGAATCCCTAGCTCTCTCTCGCACTCGCAAGTTGAGGGATGGCTCACTTGACTGCTATTGGGCAACGGATCTTTAGACTTTAACTTTTTGGTTGACATCAAGTGGGGTTTTCCGTACTAAACCGCCAAAAAGTGGAAACAACTTTTTGCCGGGGGCTCGTTGCAGCAACCAAGCTCAACACTGGACGGGGGAAAAGTTTCGTGCGATAGGACGTGGAGAGCTCCGAGTTCCTGCCTGGGGGCCCCAGCCCAGTAGCCGATGCATTGGCAGGGGGCCGTGGCTGTTTGCAGAAACTTCCAGCTGCTTCGGAGAATCACGCGGGTTGCCACAATCAAACACGTGGATATAGTTGCGGAAAGTAAGTTGCGGTATTTGGGTTGCCACCTTCTGTCCACTTGGCGGATGGCTGTGCGCATGTCGTTGTTGCCTGGGACTTGCCGGATGCCATGCTGAGGCAGGCAGCGCAAGTAGACCAGGATGCCATGCTGGATGCACCCCATCGTACCCATGCAGTCACTGCTCGGTGCGAAGGCAGAGTCTTACCTTTGGGGATGTTTATCGCAGAGAGGATTAGGGTTTGCAAGACAATGGATATGGATGGCCTCAAGTCACCAAAATGGATGGCATCATTTGGTATCGCAGATTTCGGGCTGTTTTCCACAATCATGGTACGTAGTAGGAGAGAGTGTCACCCAGAAATCCGCGCGGCAAGAATCCGTTGTTTTTAGGGGCCCCCCACAATGGGGGTTGGCCTTTTGGTTTTCCTTGAAAACCACCAAACAAAGAGTACCTTCAAAAAGCAACACGCCCACATGGGGCCTTGGGTTCAGACCATTTTCGGAGGTGTATTAGGACGGGTTCTACTTAGATCCGGGGTCCATGAATGGAAAATTTGTCCAGATGCTCCATAGACACCTCCTTTTTTTAGGCTAGTTTGGTTAGAAGTAGATCTGTGTCACTGGCTCGGAAAATCGCTCTCGGCTTTCGGTTTTCTCACTTGTTCTCTCAGGAACTACTTGCTGACCGGGGACCCTCACATCGTGGACTGGAAGGAGAGTCGACCCCCCATCCCACTTCAGCCGGGCGCCCAGATCTCTCGCGAGCCGGGCGGTGGCCGGAAGTTGTGGACACCCTGCGGCGTTTTTTTTGGAAGGGAAACCAACGGGCTGTGTCTTTTTGGTTGTTTTTCCGGGGGGTCCAGCTGTCGCAAGAAGCACACTTGAAGAAGGAGGTGTCAATTTTATAGATGTTGCAGTTTTCAGCCACAGCCCTCTAAATGGACCGCAGGGTTTAGTCCATGCTTCCACTTGTCAGGGCAACTTATTTTGGGGTTATATTTAGTTTAGAATGTCGACCCCGTTTTCGGGCCAGGCAGAAATTTGCCCACCCGTGTTCCTCGCTGCCTGAGTGCATCCACCGGAAAAAGTAAGCAAACTTCTTGTTTACCACAAGCTTTTTCCAGACCCAAAATGTGAGCGTCCACGATTTCATGGAGTGAGTGCTTGAGGATGCGCCCACTGTTTCCCGGCATACTACAGGCTGTGAGCCACCCTTTTCAGCATCACCTTCGTGATGCGCTTCTGTGCCAACCTTCCCTGCACGAGATCGGTCTTTCAGAGGCTGCACCTGGCAATTTCCAGACTCTTGGGGTTTCCTTCATCCCATTCCAGTTCAGTCATTGTAGGTCTAAGCCGAACGCAACAAAACTCCATTTTCGACCAGGGATGCAAATGGGCTTCCACCAAATTCACTAAGCTAGAACCCTGGGGAAGTGAGCTATAACCATGGTTTTGTTGGTCGAGCAACTACTGTGGATGGACAAACTCCATTTTGCACCGCTAGGGATAGATGACCCCCCCCCATGAAAGGGCCAAAACACCTACCACCTGGTGCTTATATTGGGGATTTTGTCCATCCACAATTTTGACCTCGGATGAATCAATCCGTCCTATTAAGGGGTGTTCCCACAAGGGGCCACCCCCCAGAAAAACAAATCTCAACCAGAGGTTCATTTCCTAACCCAGGGTTCCCAGGGGCAATCCGGGGGCATCCGAGGTTACTCTGCAAAACATGGAACTCATGCTCCAATCCGCAAAAGAGACTCAGGCTACACGCCCAGGACCAATCCGTCCGGGTCACTAACATGGGGTTCCAACTTCCAAGATGCCTCCGCATGCGGCTCAAAGGGGTTCCACGTGGATGCCGAACGCAAGGAAGCGCATCGCGGCCACGCACTCGGTGGAGCTCAAGGAAACGGGGCAGATCGTGGAGAAGAAGCCGGGGGCCCGAGCGGCGCTCCCCGAGCGGTCGAGTGGTCCCCGAGTTTTGCTGTGCTAGGGGTTGGTTCCGCTTCACTAAGAATTCTAGGGGTTGATTCTGCTAGGGGTGATTTCCACTCTCCCGTCACTTCGGATGCCAGTCACCACTATTGGAAGGGTTGATTCCGCTTCCATTCTTTTCAACCATCGTTCTTTCCAAGAACCGGATCCGTTTTCCATGGGAAACCTGGGAGGTCTTCTAGAAGGATCCCTGGAAAGAATGCGGAAGGTACCCCTAGAATGCTGTGTAAGCATGGGGCGAGGATCCAAGTACAGCAGTCAGTTTCCAGGTCTTAAGGGGTTCCACTGGTTCGCAAAGGGTATACTTGCTGTTGCGATAGACAGGGAATGATTCAGGAATGAACCCAGGGATGGGATTCTTCCCAAAACCTGGACTCGCAAGGTACCATGATGTAGGCTCGAGTCTAGTTCTGATCTTGTATCACCAAGAGCCTCTAGGTCGCCGTTCTCATGAAGCCTCGCATGAGAAACCAGTGCTTGCTGATTCTTCTCAGCTTGTGCTTGTTTCGAGTGGAAGGTCATTCCCTACTGACTCTCGGGGTCGAATCGGTTGCCACTGTATCCGACTCCCAGCGATGGACATGGAGGTTCCCTCCAAAAAGTGGTCAGCATCCCCACAACAGGACACCCCCCCTATGTCCCTCAATGGTGCGAGGCCCCAGGCATTGGGCGCTGATAGTCACCTCTATTTTTCAGCTGCAATAGTCCGGGACCCTTTGCACGAGTGGGCTGATTGAATCAGTACATGACTCTCTTGCAAGAAAACATGGGCTGTCCTCTTCAGACATATGAGGTTTGGTCAAAACTACTGGCAGTCCCGTTGGAGGGACATGGAATCGGCTCGAATTTTCCATAAAAAGGCTGAACACTTGGGCCGAAAGGCCGGAAGGGGGCGGCTTACATTTTTCAATTGTGTCTAACGCGATGAACAACTTACCTCTTAAAAAGACCACGTTTCTCAACTTTTTCGGTAACATGGGCTATATGTCTGTAAAAGATTAACTTCCCCAGGGCTTGGAGTTTTAAGGGATAAGACAAAGAACATCTTTTCGGCTTGGGGCTGATCGTTGAGCAAGTCCAGGGGTTGATTCCCCATGCCTCGAGAGGTACCTTCTGACTGATTTTCAAGGATCCTTCTTTTTAGAACCCTTCCGGACACCCAGTGCCAGGAAAACGGCAATCGGTTTTGAAAAGGATTTTGAAAAGAATGGAGAAGGAACCAACCCTAGTGTCCATTTGAAACAGTATTTTTTCGAGCAAATTGCTTTTCTTGCCCCAGTGAGTTGTTTTCTGAAAAGATTCGGATCGGACATGGAAGACGCAATCTGCAAAACCCGGGCAGCGAAACCCCAGGTCATTTTGGGGGCATTTGAGCGAAGGAGGTTCTACCTGGTTTACTTGGAAAAAATGAGCAAGGCCTATATGGGTCTGTCTTCTTCCGGGGTAATGTTGACCCCGGATTAATAAACCGGTTTATTTATAGGGGGGTGCTCACCTCCAATAGTGATGACTCTCCACTAAAACAGGGGCAACCCCCTATTAATCAACCAGTTTGTTAATCCGGGGTGCCCATTACTCTAAGGCATGATTCCCCATTCTTTCGTCACACGCGCACTCAGTGCAACGATCGGTCTTTCCAGCCGGTTTTGGCTCAGTTTTTGATTTTTTCTGCAGCGAGCACTGACGCATGCAGAAAGTTGTCCTGCGGGCTAGGGGTAGGGCCAATAGACTAAACAACCCCTTCCCTGACCTGCCAAAGTCATGCCGCTCAGGCCATCGATCTTACTGGCAGCGTTCTGTTTTCAGGGGCATCGTTCTTTCCCTACAACCATCGTTCTTTCCCAGGACCATCGTTCTTTCCCCAACCATCGTTCTTTCCCCAACCATCGTTCTTTCCCAACAACCATCATCATTTCCCTTCTTTCCCCACCCCATCATTCTGTCCCCCAGCATCGTTCTTTCGATCAAAGATCAGTGTGTCCCTGTTGTTATTTTTTTTCGCGTTTGCATCTGTTTTGGGTGAAAATTGGAAAACCAGAAAGAATGGGAAAGTATTGTATGAGGCCATATTTTCGGTTAAAACCCATTCTTTCCCCCCATCCAATTTTCTAGGATTTCCGGTCTTTCCTCCCGAAAGTGATGACAACTGCTGCGTGGGCTGCTGCGTGGGCCCCCATTGAAAGAATGAGGAAGTGAAAAGGAAGCTTGCGGAAAATTGGATCGCGGGCACCACTTTGGTGGGTTGGCTGATGAGGGGCCCGCGGTGCCATCAGGAGGATGCTTCAATGCTTGCCGTGAAGCCACGTGCTGTATGTTTGTCAGTGTCGCCTTGGCAATGATTCATGACATGGATGTGGGCAAAACAAGAAGGGCAAGGCTGACCGCCCCTGCTTGGGAGAGGCCTGGTGGGCTGCTGGGAGTCGGCAAAGGGAGAGAATTGGAATTGTTGAGTTTTAGCCTTGCTTGGGTGGACTGCTTTGATGGCAATTGTTGTTGCATCCATTTTGGGGGATAATTGGGCTAGCTCTTCAGAATGGGGTGGTGTGGCTTAGAATTACTCTTCTTTTGGTTTCCTTCAAACACGATGGTAGACCCCTTTTTTTGGTTAACGGGCAAAACGTGCGCTTCTCTTGTAGCAAGTCCCAGGAGCCCAAAGCGATGCACCAATGGTTTTTGGCGGGCGCGAGCTTTGCGCTTTGCTCTCGAGGCTCCGCGTCACCAACGCGGGGTCCAACATGCAGAATTTGCTGGACGGCATCCGGGGGAAACACATGGGTGCGGGACCCAAAAGGTTTCCGGCTCACGTCCACCGAACACCAAAGTGAGACCGGTCACTGGGGTCTACCCAAAACCCTGAAACCCCAAAGTCGTCTACCCAAAATGTGCCAAGTTCAGCGCAGCCGTGGCCGGTTCAATCTGCACTCGTGTCAAAAACAAACAAGAAACCTTCCCGCTACTTGATCACTTCAGAGGTCCCTTGGTACGGAAATGGCACTTCAGAGGTCCGTGGTACAGAAAGTGACAACCTGAAACCCTCTACTTCCATTTGCTTAAGTCCCCTCAAAGAAAATGTTTCCAGTAGCAATAGATTCCCTTGAAAACCAACATTGGAAAATATAAAGATCTTCATTTCAGCTGTGGGAGGATCGGTTGCACGGCCTTGCAATAGGTCACGGGTCCATGTGCGAGAGGGCCGCGCAGGTGATCACAGATCTCAGGGTCCAGAAGACAAATGAGCCACAATCAAAACCCGGGTAGATGAAGGTTAGTAAAGGACAATCTCAAACATAAATAGCTGCGGCCGCCTTCTTAGTTCTTTACATGGTCTGGGTAGACCACTTTAATACCGGGTTTTGATTGTGACTCAAGTGAGATTGCAGATACGATCGCAAAGTCGCAGCCATCCGGAGATAGGCTTGAAGACGCAGTGGCGTTAGCCTTGGGGAACTCGGCAAGCAGTGACCAGTGCCATGAGTTCGCATCTGAGCAAGTGCGTAGGGAAAGCATTGCTGGATTTGGGTTTCTTGAAATGGGGAACCACCTGAAATGCCAAGTTTCCTTTTGGTTTCTCTCTTTAAAACCTCTCCAAGAGAAGTATCCCCCCAAAAAAATACAATCCGCGCCACCCATTTCAAAGTTTTTGAGACATGCGTTTCAGCGGACAAAAAGTTCATAGAGGTGTCCTTTTCGGAACACATGGAGACGGACGTTTTGGGGGTCCCCCCAAAAGGAATGAGTTTGTCTTCCAAAACCCGCCTGTCAGCTGCCATGTTTGTTGGGAGGGTGACGGCAGCCAGAATTTCTGACCGCTCGTATGAGTCACTGACACTTGATCCAAAAAGAGTTGGTAATGAAATGGGGGGACACGCCCACATTCCCCATTAAAAGTTAGACCTTGTGCACCTGGCAGAGCAACCCAGCACATGAGCTGGATGTTTTTTGTTTTTTTTTTTAATCGCAAAAAACCAGGGGAAAAAAACAAACGTAAATCCAACCCATGGGTTGGCTTACTTGCCATTTTTGATGGGCATTTACCAATCCAACCCTGGTTTTGTAACCCGTGGGTTGGTTTACTTGTAATCACAGGTGTGCTTTTTGAGGTTGTTTTGGAAGAGAAAAATCGATGTGTTTCGATTCCTGGTTTACCTGGTGGTTTTTCCTCATCTACGAAACCCGTCTATTTCCCGAAAGAAGGACACCTATGCTTGTAATGGGTTGGCAAATGGGCGCTGGCTCCAAGAGACAGGGGTCCCTATATTTCCCTTTTTGGTGGTTTTAAACATCACCTTTTTGGCCCATGAAAGGTGAGGGTCCCTCGGTGGTGATGTCTTACGGGGAAGTATAGGGAGCCCTGAGAGACCCAGCAACTCGACCTTTTTCTGAGGTCTGAACCTCCCCATCGGCGGCGCCGGGAACCCGTCGCCGCTGGGGCCCGGTTCCCAGCGCCTCTTTGGAGAGGCCGAGCCATCCGAGCCTACCGAGCTGGGTCGGCCGAGTTTTTTCGGGGGGAGGCCCCTCCCAACCCCCCTTCCCCAACATGGCGCAACGGCGGTGCTTTGGGTTTCTGAAAAAGAAAGCACCCTAAAAAAAAGGAGTCCATCAAAAAAAACAAGGAAACGCCAAGCTTCGGTGTGACTTTTTCCCCCGAAAGACCTTTTGGAATGAGAAGGTCTTTCATAGATATAACAAAGGTTTAGACTTTTGACTCACGGGGAAGAGCACCCCAGAACATAGTTGGAACCAGTTTCTGTACTAACATGGAATCCCAAGAAGGGAAATCCCGAAAAGGAGCTCCCTCTTAAAATTACTTCTTCTTATTTTTCTTGCGGGCTCCATGTTGATTTACAGGAGTGTGATAGAATGGGTTCTACTTAGATCCGGGGCCAACATGATTGTTGGAAGGGCACCCGAAAATTTGGCCGAAGCTTCTTGCGGCTCCCAAGGCCTCATTGCATGGTGGGCCTTCGGGGCGATGTGCTCAGCAGGCGGATGACGGGACGCGAGCCAAAAAGCGAAGGGTGGACGTCCGGTTTGTCTAAAACAGCAGCAGACTGTGTGAAAGCACGTGGTCGTTGTGTTTGTTTGTCTGGGTGGCTGGTCTGGTTGATTTGGTTTTGTTTGTTTGTTTGTTGTTCGTTTGCTTGTTTTTTTTGTTTGCTTGTTTGGTTGGAGGGTTGGTTGCCTGGCTTGGCCGGTTCCTGGCTTGCTTTGTTCCCAAGGTCTCGTCCCAACTCCATGGGCCCTGTAAATTCCAGGCGAAGAAACCAACCGGGAATCCAGCGAAACCGCTGCAGACGAATGACTCGCGGAGCCGCGTCTTTTATTGACACCCCCAGTTGGCGGCTTACCACCAACGGCACCGAAGGAGAAGCCCCCCATAAGGACACGCCCAACCTGAGGACCCGGTGGAGTGGGTCCCATGGCGAACACTGTGCGAGCGGGATCCTGGCTCAGTACACCTCGGGGTCAGGTCCCCCAATATTGAAAGTTCACACCGAAAATTTGGGCACCCTTGCTCCATTTGCTTAAGAATAGGTGTTATTTTCCCTCTTGGTGTTAAACAGAATCTATCACTGCTGGACATAATAATTTCTTTTTCCAGGGAGCTTAAGCATACATACATACATACATACATACATACATACATACATACATACATACATACATACATACATACATACATACATACATACATACATACATACATACATACATACATACATACATACATACATACATACATACATACATACATACATACATACATACATACATACATACATACATACATACATACATACATTAAACAACAAATAGCATAAATAACACAAGCATGATATGTGTATATGTACAATACGCAAATGAAACAAAAGAAAACACGGTAAGTTTCTCCTGCAGCTCCCTCCGGCTCCAAAGATCGCCGCTCGCCTTGCTCCCTCCGTCCAGGCGGAAGGAGGAGGATCGCTCGCTGATCTCGCGGCTCTGGGGCTTCAAGAAGTCCGAGGACAACACAGGCGCGGACCGACGGCCGTTTGCTTAGGAAGATGTTTGTCTTATTTTCCACTGGGGGAATCTATCACTGTTTTTTTCTTCTTTTATTTTAATTCCACTGGGGGAATCTATCACTGCAAATGTGTTGTTTTTTGGTCGTATCTTCCAAGGGAGTCTTTTTGTTAGGGTAGCCGATTTTTTGACACACCCATTTGCTCAAGGTGTTTTTTCATTTTTTCCCGTTGGTTTTAAAGGGAATCCATTTCACTACTGGACATGCTTCTTGTTTTTTGTTTTGCAGGGGACTTCAAGAAAACCAACAGGGGAACGCAAACAACGGGGGAAAACTTCCATTTGCTACCAAAAATAATATTTTTGGTTTTCACCTCTTGGTTTTGAAGGGAATCTATCATTGGAAATGTGTTGCTTTTTGTTTTATCTTCAAAGGGAAAATCTTTTTTTTGGAGTACCCTTATTTTGACACATACCCACTTGTTCAATATTTTTTCATTTTGTGTTGTTCCTTCTTGGTTTTTAAGGGGATCTATCACTACTGGAAATATGTGTGAATTTGTGTCGATTTCACTACTGATCTTGTTTTTTACTTTTTCCAGGGCATGGGGGAAAAAAACAACAAATTAAGACGGCGACGAGCTTTCCGGAGCCGCTCGAGCGCTTTTCGTGCCGCGGGCCGCGGGTCGCGGTGGTTTTCTTCTGAAGCTCAAGTGGTCGAAACCTAGGCTGTAAAACGAATCAACACGCGCCACCAGCCCTCTTTTCCAGTTTTGCATGTGCTTGGGAGAGCCCTCTCAATGTCCCGTAAAACCCAGCAGGACTCACTCCTGTTTGCATGTGCTTTCGGGGAAACCAGTGGATATGGGTCAAAATTAAACCACCAGGAATTGGACCGCAGGTTTTAGTCCATGTTTCCATTTCCCAGGGCAACCCATTTTGGGGTTACCAACTATTTTTGACAACCACAGCGCGATTTTGATCGCATAGATGTACATGTTCTTAGCTTCACTCAAGGAACCGAGAAGCTGTCACGTCTTTCAGTGGTGTTCCGGTCTTGGCGCTTCGCTATGGTAGCGTTGGTGTACATTGGGATCGATGGCGGCGAAGCTTTTGCGCCATTTTTCTCTGTGACACTGCGGGCTGACGGGGGGCCTGTGAGACATGTTGGATATTGGAGGGTGGATCACTACTTGAGCCACGTGCTCGAAACCCGGGGATTGATGAAGGTTAGGGACAATCCCCTTGCCATAAATAGCTGCGGATCTCTGCCTTCTTAATTCTTGAAGCATGGTTCTGGGTAGACCATTTTAATACTAGGTTTTGATTATGACTCACTTGGTCTTTGAGACCCACCCGTCTGTGTATATGGCAGGTTCTTGGAGCACTCGCTTGTGAAGCAGTGGACGGTGGGGACTGCTCTAAGGGAAGAGGCTTACCCCTGATGCCTTTGAGGTACATAAGCGACCGGCCATAGGGTCGTGTCTTTGTGTACGGGGACCCCCCCAAAAAATAATAATAATGGTGGTTGCACCAACATGGGATACACAGGTGTATGAGATGAGGGGTTTCTGACTGGCCCAGAAATCGCGAGACCGTGGAAGGTGTGTGAGAAGGGGCTCGGACAACACCCCTGTGACTGGGTTTCCAAAAGAAGCCCAGATTCTTTTTCATTTGCCATCCCAGACCTCCCCCCTCCCCGATTTTACAGCACCCCCCCCCCCGCCCGCCCACCAGCGCCAAAACGGGTCCACCTTCCCGCGCAACACCTGCGTCCCAGAGCCGCGAGCCTCGCGCCAGTTTTCAACTCGGAGAGCTCCAACGATTCGAGGCCCAGTCAGGAGGCGCAGGAGAGATGCCGAGGGTGCCGAGAGTCGGTGTGTGTGTGTGTGTCCGTCGTGCCTTGGGTTGCCTGTACACGTTTCAGGGAAGGCTTCAAGGGAAATCAGGAGGACAAGTCACCATTTTAGAGACATTCGTATTTTGACCCATATCCAAGACAAAACCCTATATGTCTATATGTAGGAAGTCTCCAGGGTCGCAGCTACCCTGCGCACAACTTACTACTGGGAGGTACTAACTACTGAATTGCCAACCTGGCTGGCCATCCAAGTAGAACACGGGCTTGGGTGCGGCCGTTTTTGGATCCACCCATGCGGGGGAACTGAAACAGCAGTAAAACTTTACTGAGATAAGACCAACAGGCGAGAGCAAAGCGCAAAAAGACGCATCCAAGTTTTCTAGAAAGGCGACGTTGCCCAAACTCTACCCTTGCAATGGCCTCATGATCATGTGCTATCCTGATTCGTCTATCATTAGGGACAGGGGATGGGGACACACACACACAAAGTGTTCCAGGGCGACTCGATCAATTCTGTCTGCGTACCCCCCCGCTCCAAATACCGACTTTTTTCAGGGTATCCCTCTACTATAAAGGAGGTATTACCATGAAAATCAGGTTCGTCAAAGCATACCTTAAAAGAGACAGTATTTGGAGTAGGAGGTATTTTGTTGGTGGCTGTGCGAAGGCTTCTTTTGGTCTGCTCCCCAAAGGCGACACGGAGAAACGTAATGTTGACCCGAGATCAATACACCCACCTATAAAAGGGAGTGTTTCCTCCAAAAGTGGTCCGAAACCCTACTAAAAAGGCGTGGGTGACACCCCCATTTCTCAAATTCAATCAGTTCTACTTAGATCCGGGGTTCCCAGTGCTCGGCGTTGTAGCGCCACCAAAACCATCGGAAGTAAACCCTGGTAAAACATCTGAACATTTACATATGTGGTGAAAACCGCCCTTTCGGGAAACACCCGGGTTGGTTTGTGCAATATTTCGGGCATCAATTACCCTGGGAGTGGCGTTCTTGGCCCGAAAGGAAGCCAACGCCAGGCCATCCCTCATCAAATGGTTGGTCCAGTGACCTCTTGTGGTCTTTGGGGGGTGACATCATGGGCAAGTTAAGGGATACATTTTTGTCGCCCCGGCCATCTATTTGACAGCTTTCCGAAGCATGCATCCAAACACCACCTGCTTTACACATCGGGATCCTCTAAATCTGGCGTTTGAACCTTGTTTTTGTGTTCAAATGCTTCTTGGATACGTTTGGACCCCAAATCCAAATCTGGCCAGTATCGAGATCGTCTAAATCTGGCGTTTGAACCTGGTTTCTGTTTTCAAGTGCTTCTTGGATTGCCGTTCTCCCCGTTTTTTCGGTCGGACGGAGCCTCGCCTCTTCGCTGAAAGCGCCGCAGGAGTGGAAGCTGGAGCGCCGGGTGCAGGGGGGCCACCTCTACATCCGCACCGATGACTTCGGCATGGCCATGCCCTCGAGAACTGGAAGACTCGTTCTTTTTGTTTTGTGTTTCTTGGTCTTTTGTGAGCAGGGTTGTGGTTGATCACAAGGGGTTTCTCCGACCACTTCTGTGATACCTTCTGGGAATCCCCCGAAAATATGAAGAACATAGTCTTTGGGAAGCCCTTTCTGCTGTCACTCCCCACAGCCCTGTTTGTCAGGGTACGTTATCTCCGACTTTGCCTTGGAACCTCTCACAAAAGGAGTTTCAGGAAGACGTGGTTGCGGGCATGTGGTTACAAGTCCTGCAAGGGCCAACAAGTTAGGGCAAGGGCCACAGAAGGCCCTGGCCAGCCATCAGGGCATAGACCATAGACCTCAAGCTGGGCGTCTTGCTCTCTCATGTTGTCTTGCAACAGTTTAGTTTCGGGTTTTCCCCGGTTCTGATCGCAACTCGTTTGACCTGAGAACGTTCTTCTTCTTCTTCTTCTTCTTTTTTTGTTTGTGTTTTTTTTTTTTGGGGGGGGGATGGTGCTTTTTTTTTTGGGGGGGGGGAGTATGGTGCAGTGCTTGGAGGCGATATTTTTTTTTCGGGCGCACGGCTCCGAAGGCCAGGTGAAGGTGCGCTTTGGTCAAAGCGAAATTTCTGACTCCCGGAAGGTCGGGAGTCGACCTGGGCAATTTTTGTTTTGGGCTTCTGGGAGGCCGTTTCTTGAGAAGTTCGGACTTGCATCTGGTTCCTTTTGTTATTATTAAGTTGCTCGGTACGCTTTTTGCAAGGGTTGAAATTTTTAACCAAAAGGACCCACGGAAACGATTTTGCGGGTGCCCTAAGAAGGACACACCCACCTGGCGATTTTACCAAGATGAACTGGTGTCATGTACCAGGACTTGGGGTTTTGGACATGGTGTTCCGGCTGGTGGGCACGTCAACATAGTTGATTGTTATCAGTTCAAAAAATGGGGTCTCCGCGAAAGGGTAAGAAGGTATGCTTGATGGAAGGGATGGCTTCCCCCCATATGTCCCTGGCATATTTGGTCGTTGTCCTTTTCTGAGGCTCTTCATCGGCACACCGGGGGGGAAAAAAAAACCTATCACCTAGGTCCCCCAGTAGTGCCCGACCTCTCACCCCTTTTTTGGTTGGGAGGGGTTCCCCACTAAAATAGACTATGGGGGGAAGTTTCCCCACTAAAATAGACTATGAAGGAGGTTTCCCCCCTAAAATAGACTATGGGCCGGAGGCAAAATAGACTATGGCGAGGGTTTCCCCACTCTTATAGACTATGGGGGAGGGTTTCCCCACTAAAATTGCACTATGGGTGAGGGTACTAAAATAGACTATGGGGGAGGGTTCCCTCCTAAAATAGACTATGGGGGAGGGTTTCCCCACTAAAATAGACTATGGGGGAGGGTTTCCCCACTAAAATAGACGACAGCAAAAAGAAGCGGTACCCTTATTCTAACCTCTCAAATCTGGAGGACCTAGTAAGACTAGCTCCTAGGGATGGCTTGAACCATGCGTTTTTTCGCCACCCATCTCGGAAGTTTCCTATGGCTTGAACAGTAGTAGTGCCCTTTTACCCTTTTTGGGGGAGAGCTTCCCCACTAAAATAAGTTTTGTATGGCTTGAACAGTAGTGCACATTTACCCTTTTTGGGGGAGAGTTTCCCCACTAAAATAAGTTTCCTATGGCTTGAACAGTAGTAGTGCCCTTTTACCCTTTTTGGGGGAGAGCTTCCCCACTAAAATAAGTTTTGTATGGCTTGAACAGTAGTGCACATTTACCCTTTTTGGGGGAGAGTTTCCCCACTAAAATAAGTTTCCTATGGCTTGAACAGTAGTAGTGCCCTTTTACCCTTTTTGGGGGAGAGCTTCCCCACTAAAATAAGTTTTGTATGGCTTGAACAGTAGTGCACATTTACCCTTTTTGGGGGAGAGTTTCCCCACTAAAACAAGTTTCCTATGGTTTGAACAGTAGTAGTGCCCTTTTACCCTTTTTCGGGGGACTAAAATAGACTCTGGAAAGAAAGTTGGTACCAACTTCTGCCCCCCAGTATTTTCCTTCTACCCTTTCTGGGGGGGAGTCTTCCCCTAGCAGAAAAAAACTGGTACCAACTTCTGCCCTCTCTACTGGACCGAGCGCCGCGATTTTTCGACCCGCGGCCTCGCGGCCTTGGATCCCCGGGTGATCTGAGCGATCGAAGGTCACCTGCTCTCGAAGCTCCGGGGCGGTCACCGCGGAGGACGAGCAGAGCATCTTCAAGACGGACAAGGCTTCGACGGGTGCGAACCCGACATGACCTCGGGGGCGCTCGGAATTCGTCCTCTTCTTCTTTTTCTCTTTCTTCTTGGCCCAACTTCTTTTTTTCTTCCCCCGTTTTTTTGGGTGGTTTCAAAGGGAAACTGGAAGGAAACCGCCCCTTTTAGAGTTAGACAGGGGCTTTCCCGTCCGCATTTTGCCATCCGGTCCTAGGGCCCCCCCACACACTTTTGGGCACAATTCAAATACGCCCACTAAAACAGCCTATTTTCAACATTCAATTTCAATCACCCAACCAATCCAACACCAAAAAACACATATTCACATACCCATCTTCATTTCTTACCCCATCTCAACATCACCCTTACACTCATTCAATAACAACAATCATAACTACATACCACCTCAACAAATCCCACCAAAAAAATCCAAGCTACATACCAACATTTTTTCATTCCCAAGATCGCAACCCCAAGATCTCAATCATTTCTCCCTTGATCCAACCTGAGACCCTTTCCCATTTCCAACAAATACGAACAGTCTAAAAAAGAACCCTATGTTCGCCCCCGAAAAATGGTTAACCAATGGAAAAGGGAGAATTAAAACCGTTAACCCAAATCTTGAAAACAATCCCAGTAAAATATGGATGGCAAAATGCGGATGGGAAAGGCCTATGTAGGAAAGCACCCCCACGGCTTATATGGGAAAATTAAACTAAAATTACAACATATAAGATCTTATATGTTGTAACTATAGTATAATCAAGAACTGAAACATTCATCTCAATAATAGCTAGCCGTGCTTTCATTATCGCTAAATTCTTCATCCTCGTCATAGAAGTCTTCCGTGCTTAATATATGATAAAATCGGATATGCCATTCTGCCTCTGTTCTGAATGGCATCATTTCCAACAGTGCTCTCATTGCGTCGTAATAACCAATTCTCAAGTGTTTTCTTTTGTCATCAATACTATCAATGAACCAGAGCTGTTTAAATTTATTTTCAATATCATATATGTAGGAATAGTTATAGAACGCTTTCAATTCTAAATATATTTCATAATCAGATTTGGTATCATCCAATGCTTCAGTTAAAGTCATTGCCCAGAATGGGTTTCTTTTTACTCTTTCCCAAGTTGGAAAATGGTTTTTAAGAATATCATTATACCTGTAAGGACATATATCATAACAGTGATATGACATAATATTCAATCTAACTTCCAATGGTAGATGATTAATGTCGCACATACTTTACTTAATATATTAAGGTAATATTTCTTTAAGCGCTTTTTCAGGGAAACTTTTAAGTCAAGCGAATTATAATTACAACATATAAGATCTTACATGTTATAATTATATTATGAGTTCAACTTTATTCTAATTCATTATACAATTATTCTTCAATTATTTTTATTATTTTATCAGTCGTTTTTTCATTATATATATTATTTCCTATTTCCTTTTTAAACAAGCCCATTGTTCTAATTGCACTTATTACCGTATATCTAAGTTCGTGAGCTTTATACTCACAACTTAAAACATCAAAGTCATTGTCATTCAATGCTTCTTTCATTAAACGCCTAATATTAAAAGACATACCATATAATCTTTTTACCAGATTATAATACTTAAAAATAAAATCATTATCATTTCCTTCCTCATCGCCCTTATATAATAAATTTCCAAACTCTTCTTCAGTCAAGAACTTATTCATTTTAATAAACACAAATATTTCTAAATCTTCATCAATATTTTTAACATTTCTAGTATTAATATATTTGCTATTCATATCATCAATTTCGTTTATAATTTTATTGCAATTATCACATATCATACATTGACAAATATTATCACAAACACCATTTAAAAAACCTTGTTTAATTGGTAATTTTAGCATCTCACAGTCTCTACATTTATAACTCATACACTTTTCTCTGAATATATTTTTAGCATCAATATCTTCACGGACTGTATCACTATATTTGCTATATTCGCTATCTGTATCACTATATTGACGATTTTCACTTTCTGTATCACTATATTGACTACTTTCACTTTCTGCATCGCTCATTGTCCTAATATACATATATAGGTAATATTTCTTTAAATACATTTTTCAGAGAAATTATAATTTATAGAAATATTTTTACCACTACAATTACAACATATAAGATCTTACATGTTGTAAGTATAGCAAAACTATGGTATCAAAGGCTTTAATCTATGTATTTCCATGGGTTGTATTCGTTTCTTCTGCTCCTTCCTTAACTCTTTTGTTGCTTTTACTTTGTCTCTGCATTCCTTACATGTTTTGTAACATATCTCTTCCATTTTAATTCTATCATACATTTTGTGAAAATCCTTTCTTGGCTTTGCTTCGTCGCATTTACTGCAAGGATAAACCATTGTGTATCCTGTTTCTTCTTCGTCATCTGTAGAACTCATAATATTAGTTATGCCAATATGTCTTTAAAAGGATTTTCAGAGAAAAATGTTTTCAATCAAGAATAAATCCCTGTATCTTCATCATAGTCGATTTGATAAAATGTCATAGTTGAAGCCTTCGGTTCTTTAATTTCTTTGTTATTAAGTTTGTTTAAATAAATGTTTCTTTTATTTTTATATTCACCATTGGTTCGATCTACTTCCTTACTTTGATAACTGTTTGTTAACGGTTTCTTCTTTTCCATTTCTTGTAAGATTTCTAAAATATTCTTGTTCTGTTCTAAAACCTTGTTCAGTTTTTTAACCATCTTTTCTAATCCTTCATCCATGTAAATATATATATATATATATTATATTATAAATAAAACTTTTAAAACTAAATGTTTAAATTATGTTAAATCTACTCTTTAAATACTAATTTTTCATCATTTGTTTAACAGTTTCCTGAGTTTCCTTATCGCCATTATCGGATGGAGTAACCCCCCTCCCAAAGCGTATAGCAATATTATGAACATCTGTTTCTAAGTTGATACTGTCTTTAGTTTTATCAATATTCATTTTCTTATCATTCTTACTTAGTTTGAAACTTGTCGGAATACACGAACATTTACAGTTTCCTTTCTTTTGTATTTCTAATTCAATCTTCATTTCTAACATCTTTTTACACATTGGACAAGCAAACTCAATAACTGATGTTTCTTTAACAACTTCTTCTTTTTCTTCATCAGTTGAAGAAACAACTGGTTCAGTCTTATTCTTTTTCTTTCTTCCCATTTATATTAATATTTACATTTTTATTTTTGATATATTGTATCACAAACTTAATTATTTCTAAAACAAAATAGCATATTTTCTTGCATCTATTATCAGTTGTAACAACTTGTTCTAAATTCTCTACTTCATCTATTATATCAATATAATCCGAATAGCTTCTATTCATATAAAATAATAAATATAAAATATTGTCTAAATAACTTTAATATTATTTTATTATGTCAGATGTTCCAATAATAAAACCAATAAACATAACTGAATATGAATTCAAACAATCTAAATATGAGCATGTGCCAAAATTACCATTTAGAAGTATTATAGTTGCGAGTTCGACAGGTGGCAAAACAGTCTTGGTTCAGAGCCTTATCTTAAATGTTTATAGAAATTCATTTGCAAGAATATTCATATTTTCCCCCAGCGTTCATAATGACCCAACCTTTACAGAAGTTAAAAAATATATCAGGGATGAATTGCACGTGGATGATGAAAAAGAACAAATTTATTTTGATAATTATAATCCAAGTGATTTAGAAAATGTAATTGAAAGACAGAAGAAAATAATTAATTATATGAAATCTAAAAAGATAAAGAAACTACATTCAATATTAATTGTTATAGACGATCATGCCGACGATCCTAAATTTGTTAGATATAGTAAATTATTACATGGACTATTTACAAGAGGTAGGCACGATGCAGTAAGCGTAATTTGTTCAACACAAAAATACAATGTTTTGGCTCCTATCATTCGTTTAAATGCCAGTTCATTATATATTTTTAGGTTGAAAAATGCCAGTGAATTAATGAGTTTTATTGAAGAAAATAGCGCCATTGTTGACAAACAGCAATTATTAGATATGTATCATCAAGCCGTTAATGACGCACCTTATAGTTTCTTCTACGTGAATATGAATGCTAAGAATGTGAATGACATGTTTTTTCTCCGTTTTGAACAGGCATTTCAAATTACAAATGATGAATAAAGATATTCGAATTTAATATAATATAATAATATGCCAATGAAACTATGTAGATGTGGTGGATTTTATCGTAGAGGTAATTACAATTTTCATACTAATTCTTGGATACATAAACTTTATAAAGTGTTAAAAAGACGACCAACAGACGAGGAATTATTAAGATTTCAAAATAATTTTGTTGATGAAGAAGATTTAATAGATGATATGTGTAGCAACGCCTCAACAAAATTACCCGAAAGTGAAATGACAGATTATGATAGTAATTAATAATATTAATGTATGTTAATATTATCAATTTAGAATAAAGAATAGCTACATAAATTTAAGGCAGGAAATTTATAATATGTTTTATCTTTTTTACATTCATTAACTTTTTCTAATTTATTTATTATTGCTTTCAATGAATTTATTTGTAGAATATAAATTCTTGACATTTCACTTATCGTATTTACATCTATATCTTTTATTACTTTAATAGCCTCTTCATCATCAATTTCTACTGGTTTTGATTTACTTGAACCCATTATATATAATATTATTTAGATTTTAATTTTTCAGAATTATAATTTTGTTTTTCTTCTCCGTCTTCTTCTTCGTCTTCAGTTGGTGCTGGTATTTCTGTTGGACTTTCAGATGAAGAACTATGAACAGTAATAGGTGGAGAACTATGAACACTAACAATTTCATTAGAAGAACTACTGCTACCTTGTGCATTTCCTGCTGTTATTTGATTAACTAAATCTGCGATATTTATTGTTGTTGTAATTGCGCTATGTGATAAGTTTAATATTATATCTGCTACTGTAGCGCCGTTG